AAATAAATGGAGTGGAGGAAAACCTGGTTCAGTCTGTTTTCCACCAGACACTGGGAGATGAATTAACCTTTCAGCAGGACAATAACCTAAAACACAAGCCCAAATCTACACTGGAGTTGCTTACCAAGAAGACAGTGAATGTTCCTGGGTGGCCGAGTTAGTTTTTACTTAAATCTACATGAAAATCTATGGCAAGACCTGAAAAAAGTTGTATAGCAATGATCAACAACTAATTTGACAGAGCTTGAATAATTTTGAAAAGAATAATGGGCAGAGGTTGCACAATCCAGGTGTGGAAAGCTCTTAGACTTACCCAGAAAGACACAGCTGTAATCGCTGCCAAAGGTGCTTCTACAAAGTATTGACTCAGGGGTGTGAATACTTATGTAAATGAGAACATGTTTTCACTTTGTCATTATGGGGTATTGTGTGTAGATGGGTGAGAGAAAGAAAACCGATTTAGTCCATTTAGAATTCATGCTGTACCATACAACAAATGTGGAATAAGTCAAAGGGGTATGAATACTTTCTGAAGGCACTGTAACTACTGCTGTACACACCCTTACTATTAATATACTGTCCATACTGTCTATACACACCATCATACACATAAATATTTATATTCCGGACTCTGAAATTGCTTGTTCTGATATTTCTTAATTTAAATGTTTTGAATTTGTGTTTATTGTTTTGTATTGTTAGGTATTACAGGGCGAGAGGCGACTCACACCCGAGAGAGCTAGAGTATAGTAGAGATTGTAGAGGGAAAGAAGTGTTAGAGTGGACGGGAGATGTAGGTGATGGTGATTGAGGGCTTTCTTGATGGAAGAGTCGGAGTTGAAGTAAAGATATATGTAGACTAGTGAAAGTGAGAAAGAAAGAAAATGGAAAGTTAAATATAACGTTAAAATGGAAAGTAAGAATTTGAATATTGAAATTTTAGGACTGATTTAAGATTTTGCATAGTGAAAACTAACTGTTTATTTTCTTTCTTCTTTATTTAAATGTTTTAAATGTGTGTGTATTGTTAGGTATTACTGCACTGTTGGAGCTAGAAACATAAGCATTTTGCAGCACCTGCGATATCATCTGCAAAATACTGTATGTGTAGGCCTATGTGACCAATACAATTTGAGTTGTTGTTCATAAAACTCCACGGACCCACTCTTGCACAGTGGAACCCAGAACGATATGTGACCACTTGGTTATGATGCTCTCCTTTCAGCATCACGATTCGCCATTATAATCACCATTATCATAAAGATTATTATTTATTATTATTAGGCTACAGTAGAAGATTGTCACTTCTCACAATGGTGCTCATTTAGTGAAGTTAGATAAAAGCTGAATCAGTCCAGCAAGATCACATAATGATTCATTAGTACACTGCTCAAAACAATAAAGGGAACACTAAAATATCACATCCTAGATCTGAATGAATGAAATAATCTTATTAAATACTTTTTTCTTTACATAGTTGAATGTGCTGACAACAAAATCACAAAAAAATTATCAATGGAAATCAAATGTATCAACCCATGGAGGTCTGGATTTGGAGTCACACTCAAAATTAAAGTGGAACACCACACTACAGGCTGATCCAACTTTGATGTAATGTCCTTAAAACAAGTCAAAATGAGGCTCAGTAGTGTGTGTGGCCTCCACGTGCCTGTATGACCTCCCTACAACGCCTGGGCATGCTCCTGATGAGGTGGCGGATGGTCTCCTGAGGGATCTCCTCCCAGACCTGGACTAAAGCATCCGCCAATTCCTGGACAGTCTGTGGTGCAACGTGGCGTTGGTGGATGGAGCGAGACATGATGTCCCAGATGTGCTCAATTGGATTCAGATCTGGGGAACGGGCGGGCCAGTCCATAGCATCAATGCCTTCCTCTTGCAGGAACTGCTGACACACTCCAGCCACATGAGGTCTAGCATTGTCTTGCATTAGGAGGAACCCAGGGCCAACCGCACCAGCATATGGTCTCACAAGGGGTCTGAGGATCTCATCTCGGTACCTAATGGCAGTCAGGCTACCTCTGGCGAGCACATGGAGGGCTGTGCGGCCCCCCAAAGAAATGCCACCCCACACCATGACTGACCCACCGCCAAACCGGTCATGCTGGAGGATGTTGCAGGCAGCAGAACGTTCTCCACGGCGTCTCCAGACTCTGTCACGTCTGTCACATGTGCTCAGTGTGAACCTGCTTTCATCTGTGAAGAGCACAGGGCGCCAGTGGCGAATTTGCCAATCTTGGTGTTCTCTGGCAAATGCCAAACGTCCTGCACGGTGTTGGGCTGTAAGCACAACCCCCACCTGTGGACGTCGGGCCCTCATACCACCCTCATGGAGTCTGTTTCTGACTGTTTGAGCAGACACATGCACATTTGTGGCCTGCTGGAGGTCATTTTGCAGGGCTCTGGCAGTGCTCCTCCTGCTCCTCCTTGCACAAAGGCAGAGGTAGCGGTCCTGCTGCTGGGTTGTTGCCCTCCTATGGCCTCCTCCACGTCTCCTGATGTACTGGCCTGTCTCCTGGTAGCGCCTCCATGCTCTGGACACTACGCTGACAGACACAGCAAACCTTCTTGCCACAGCTCGCATTGATGTGCCATCCTGGATGAGCTGCACTACCTGAGCCACTTTTGTGGGTTGTAGACTCCGTCTCATGCTACCATGCTAAGCACCGCCAGCATTCAAAAGTGACCAAAACATCAGCCAGGAAGCATAGGAACTGAGAAGTGGTCTGTGGTCACCACCTGCAGAACCACTCCTTTATTGGGGGTGTCTTGCTAATTGCCTATAATTTCCACCTGTTGTCTATTCCATTTGCACAACAGCATGTGAAATGTATTGTCAATCAGTGTTGCTTCCTAAGTGGACAGTTTGATTTCACAGAAGTGTGATTGACTTGGAGTTACATTGTGTTGTTTAAGTGTTCACTTTATTTTTTTGAGCAGTGTATTTTGCATAACAGAACAGAATATAATAGCATGTAATGTAGCATAGTAGGCCTGTAATATGTTACACCAAAAACACATACTCTGTCATTTCTTAGCCTATCTGAAGCTGAATAGTCAATTTTTTTCCTCATGTGGCCAAAACTCAACAGTGCACACCACTAGAGAGGCAGCTGTAACTCTGAGGAAGACCTGGACATCCCCTCGGGGAGAGAGGGATGTGTACCCCTCAGCTTTGACCGCTAGGGGAGCCCTCGAGTGGTTGTTGAACGGGACGTCCCGTTGAAAGAGCGAGACGTCTCGGGGAGAGAGGGGTTTGTACCCTTATCATTGACCCCTAGGGGAGCCCTCGAGTGGATGTTGAGCGGGACGTCCCTTTGAAAGAGCGAGACGTCTCGGGGAGAGAGGGGTTTGTACCCTTATCATTGACCCCTAGGGGAGCCCTCGAGTGGATGTTGAGCGGGACGTCCCTTTGAAAGAGCGAGACATCTCAGGGAGAGAGGGATGTGTACTTTCGTGGATGCAAGGACGTCTCCGTCAGAGAAAGCCACTGCACAGATGGAACAAGGAGCAGAAGTAGAACTAGCTTGACGGATTCCGTAGTGATTTGCATTTTGCCTGTACAATTCATAAGAATGTGTTTTTTTCTAACAGGCTTATATGTTGTTTTGGACTGTTTAAGACATTTGTTAAGGTTAAACTCTGCTGTTATTGCTGCAAACAATTATTTATTATCTAGCAGTTGGGCTAGCTAGCATGCTAGCCCAACTAGCTAGCGTTGTGAACCAGATTAGCATCTGAATTTGTATTTTGTCACGAATTCTGGTAGGGAGGTGTCCCCATCGGTACCAACTGAGAAATCTCATTAGGGATTGTTGGAATGTTGAAGAGCTCGCGTAGAGGTTGATATGTTGCTGTTCCAATGTTTTTTCTTCACTCTGTCATCAGATATTTACATTTTTGTCATTTAGCAGACGCTCTTATCCAGAGCGACTTACAGGAGCAATTAGGGTTAAGTGCCTTGCTTAAGGGCACATCGACAGATTTTTCACCTAGTCTGCTCGGGGATTAGAACCAGCGACCTTTCGGTTACTGGCACAATCATCTTACCCACTAAGCTACCTGCCGCCCCTTTACATGCAGCATTGCCTTAGTGCACTTCATTACATTTTTACATTTTAGTCATTTAGCAGACGCTCTTATCCAGAGCGATTTAGTGCATACATTTTTCATACTGGCCCCCCGTGGGAATCGATCACACAACCCTGGCGTTGCAAGCGCCATGCTCTACCAACTGAGCTACATGGGAGCTACTTCATGATCTGCAGATCAGTAACTTTGTGGTTGTGAACGTGATTAATCCAAATGCGGTAGTCCAGTACATTTGTTTTGGCTTAGTAAGCTAGCTACCCCAAGTATTAGTTTAAGTGTTTTGCAATATTGGAGGACAGGTGTCGTAACTGACAATTTTGTATTGTGCTTGATTATCCACTAGTAGTTTGACAAATATGCACTGATCATCAAAATGATCTCCCGAATAGTTTTGAAAGATGTTGTGTTGGCAGAATTTTGGGTGAGCTGTTGTAACTTCTCAAGGGATATGTTCTGTGTTGGACTGTGATGTTATGCCTTTCATTGACACCTGGTATGTCTGCACCCTAACACAAGGAAATTGTGTTCCGGAACTGTTGATGTATTGAAAGAACTGTTGAGTAAACAAATTGGTTGTATTATCACCTCCCGCAATATAAGGGACATGTAAGCATTTCTTCCTTGAGTTCTTCCCATTGAAATCAGTGGATCTCCCCTGCAGCTGCTCGTATTAAATATGTTTCTATTATATCGTCAAATAGCCTCTGCCTTAATCTTGGATCGAATTTTCCACAACAATGTGGTTCAGAGGTTCAAGAGTTTTACTCTTGAGTTCAGGCTCACGAGTGGCATTGTTGCTGTCATTATAGTATCCTTTGTTTTGTTTACTGTCACTACATATTTCGGTTTATCAGAGTATGCCTTCAGTCTTGGAACTACAGTTTTTGGCAATGGGCATGGTAAGTTAGCAAGGAGGGGCTGAGTGAATCAAGAATCATATGCTCAGTAGCTAGCTACTTTGAATGGGAGTGTTGTAACGTTAGCTAGCTTGCTACAATTTGTAGCTAACGTTAATGACGTAAAAGATGGTGCCAGTAGGCTACAGCGGCAAGCTAGAGCACAACACATCAATGCCACTGATGTCTGTCAACCCTATAATTTCAGTTTGAATCCTCTCCTATTCCAGTACACAAGCTCATCACATATTCCTTCCACTACAAGACAGTGACCCAGCTACTCCTCAGCATTGGGGTTCTGGTGCCCCTCTGTGGAGGTACTGAGAAGAGTGTGGACCCTGTTCGTTTCCTCCTCATGTTTCAGCTGCTCTCTATCAGCACAGGGGTGTTGTACACCATCCTGGGGCTGGTACTGTTTGGTGCATCTTCCCAGAATCAAGTGGAGGGATTAGTTTCTGTATCCCTCTCCCTTATGGGTATGGCCACAGTGCACTCCCGTATGGTTAAGGGCTTTCTTTTTGGAGTCAGTGTACCCATGTTAGCCCTGCCCTGGCTGTTACTGCTCATCGTAACACTTTTGGTCCCACACACTGTCTTCCTCTCCAACGTCATCATTGCAGGGCGGGATCTGTATCCTTACTCCAACCTCATTGTGGTTGAAAAGAACTGTGATACACTCTGCAGTGTGTCACAGCTTTAAGTGTGCGTAGTAGTGTAGTTAAGTGTAATATTTGTATGTGTTGTATATGCTTGAAATGTTTGAGTCCTCATGCTGAACATTATGGGATGTTTGGTTAGGAAAATCTTGCATCACACATTCTCATTATCTTGCTCTGGTGAAACAGACGGAAAGGGCTGGCTCTCACTTCTAGACATGTCTGATGCTAGGGCATCAGTGCTGGACAAGAATATGCCTTTCAGGCTGCTGAGGATCATTGGTGTCCTGTATGTCCCTGCATCAACAGAGGAGAGAAGGAAGACGGTCCACCCACCGTGAGTACTGAGAACGCACTAGACGCATTATTTATACTTCAAGACAAGGTAATTAAATTAACATGATTTCTGGGTGCAAGCCAGAGAACGTGATGTACTACAGTATAATGAGGTGCAGTTTTAATAGAGGATACTCAGCTGTAATTGAATACTGTACAATAGGCACTTAGTGGTCCCCATTATTCGATAGAGAATCACTGTTTAGTTAGATAAGCGCTCTGTAATCTCTCCACATTCTCATTGGTTGCAGAATCATTCCATCCCCAGGCTCCTACCCAGTCCACGCCCACGCTCCAGTTTCCTCCAATCTACAGGCTACCGAGACCACACCAAAGACATTTGAAGGCTGGGCCCACTCATACTATACACAGGGGAGCCCGGTTCAGCTCTCAGGTTATTATGGTCACAACCATGGATATGTCCTCAAGCATAGCTTTGGGCCAAGTCATGGACATAGTCACTAACACAGCTCCGGCCATAGACACAGTCATGGGCACACATATGCCTCTCAAACCAGCAGTCACTGGGCTCCAGTGGCTCAACATCTACATTCTCAACATTCCCACCTCAGTCCACTGTCTGTCAGTGCCCCCCAGAGTTTCACAGCAAACATGCCCGAGTCACTGCCAGGATCTGTGATGGTTCACCCAGGGGCACCTGTGTCTTCACTGACAGCAACAGTGTGTGAAAACCTTGTGAAGACTTACAGAAAACGTTTGACCTGTGTCATTGCCAACAAAGGGTATATAACAAAGTATTGAGAAACGTTTGTTATTGACCAAATACTTATTTTCCACCATCATTTGCAAATAAATTCATTAAAAATCCTACAATGTGATTTTCTGGATTTTTTTTCTCTCATTTTGTCTGTCATAGTTGACGTGTACCTATGATGAAAATTACAGGCCTCTCATCTTTTTAAGTGGGAGAACTTGCACAATTGGTGGCTGACTAAATACTTTTTTCCCCCACTGTAGCTAGCTGATGATGATAGCTACCTGTCTACTTTCATAAACCACCATGTGTAACTTAACCTAACCATCTTAAATCCTCCCTCTGTTGTCTGCAGGTGCCAACATCAACGCTCAGACAGAGGAGACACAGGAGCGACCCCTTGAGCTGATTACCTGTTGGCTGCAGGTGAGCAGAACCTCTCCTAACTGTTTGGCTCTCTTTTCAGCCCTCTCCTTACTCTCTCCCTGGCCACTCTCTCTCTTATCACTCTCTCTCTCTCTCTCTCTCTCTCTCTCTCTCTCTCTCTGGTGTTATCTAGACAATGGATCAACCAACCCGGACCACTTTGCCAACCCAGTCATCAGGAAGAAGGAAAACCCTTATTTATTTCTCTTTCCCCTCTTTTCTTCTATTTTAAAACCAACATCTACCCACTTTTTTTAAATTAACCCTTTAATGCTGACCTGCAGTTGGCAATGTGGAACAACTGTATTCTTCTGGCTTTGGATGTTAGGTCTTATGACCTAACAAGCATAACCTTTCAAGGTTTTACAGTATTGATTTCGACTGCAGCAAGTATGCTTCTTTAGATGCTTTACTTGCATACATTCGAACACAGTCATTATACACTGAGTATACCAAACATTCGAAACACCTTCCTAATATTGAGTTGCACCAATAAGGGATCATAGCTTAAACCTGTATTAAACTGGTCAGTCTATATCATTGAAAGAGCAGTTGTTCTTAATGTTTTGTATATTCAGTGCATACTATAACATACAGTCATGTGAAAAAGTAAGTACACCCCCTGGATTTTTGGTTTGTTTTGGACAGATGGATATGTAATCTTCACTTCAACACTATTGACAGATAAAGGTAACCTAATTTAACAAATGACACTGAAAGATTATACTTTGTAATCATTTATTCATCAAAAATCAACAGAAATGCAATTCCATAGTTCGGAAAAGTACACCCCTAACTTCAATAGCTTGTGTTGCCCCCTTTGCCTGAAATAAGTTAATGTAGATGTATCTTACATCGAGCAGACCGGACATCCTGGTCGCATCATACACAGGCCACTCTGGCGTGTCTGTTTCTCTCTCTCTCTCTCTCTCTCTCTCTCTCTCGCTCTCTCGCTCTCTCGCTCTCGCTCTCTCGCTCTCTCGCTCTCTCTCGCTCTGTTTGTCTCTCTCTCTCTCTCTCTCTCGCTCTGTTTGTCTCTCTCTCTCTCTCTCTCTCTCTCGCTCTGTTTGTCTCTCTCTCTCTCTCTCTCTCTCTCTCTCTCGCTCTGTTTGTCTCTCTCTCTCTCTCTCTCTCTCTCTCTCTCGCTCTGTTTGTCTCTCTTTGTTCTGTCCAGTTTCCAAATATTATGTGTAATGGAGGGCTAAAGGACTGTATTATTCTTAGGTTTCTGGTTTGGGTGTGTTCGCCTCTGGGCATCTGCCAGAACGCAATGATGGCAAGACACAGTGAACGGTTGGCTTGTAGTTTACTGAAGGAACAGACTGATGGTGAGCCAGCAGCAGATGTTGGGGCAGCAGTTGACAGGCCTGGGACTCGGCCTTCTCACCCAGGCCCCCGACATACTCATAGTGGCCTTCCCTGCACAGGACGACAGAATGGCAGGTATGTGAACAGTTACGTTAGGAGCTGGTTCTTTTCTTTCCATAATTCTTCTAATAACTAAAAATAGAAACAGTGTTCCGTCCCCCATCCTTTTCCTAATGCTGAACATGGTTTCAATACATTTTTAACATAATTCACAACTGGTTTTAAATAAAAGAAAAAATGTTAATGTGATGTAGTTAAAATGTGATGGTTGACTCTCATTAACAGCTCTCTCTCTCTCCCCCTGTGACAGTAGCGGTGAGCAGCAGGGTGCCTATGTCGAACACTACAACCTCGCCCATACCCACAGCACAGACGTCCATTAACACAGAGTAATCTAACTCTGTCCCCAGGTTTCGCTCCTCTAATCCTGGCTGCTACAGTGGGTCATGTTGAGGTGGAGATCCTGCTGGATAAAGGAGGGGACATCAATGCCCAGTCTGTGCGAACCAAACGCACAACATTGTTTATCTGGACAATATTGCAAAACATGTTGATGCTCTCAGTATGTTGAATGTCTTACATGTGCTGACTCGTACTGCTTTTTTATTTCTTTGCATGGGTGAGCTGGATGGATGCCACATACCACTAGCTGAACTGGAAGAGCTGGCTGCAGCTATGGTCCATGTTGTGTCTACAACCATCTCCACACTGACAGGATGAGACACGCTGCTGTGAAGGGTCCTGCCCGACCCAAATGCTTCAAATGGCACAATTACAAGTATTTATCAAACTGAAACCACCAGAACACTATCCCTCACAAGATAGACTAAAAACAGTGAATAAAGTGATTGTTTGATTGAAACTGTTTTATCATAAACTAATGATGAATTACATGTTGACTACATATTTTGTTACCCTTTCCTGATATGATTTTATAAATCCTGACAGTTAGTCTTGTCTGGCACAAACACTTGTAGCTGAATGCATTGCTAATACCGCCCCAAAAACATCGCCATTCCCATGATGTTTCATTATGTGTATCTCACTAATCATTTACATAAATGTCTGTGTGCTATGTTTTGGTATTTGTTTCTGTGTTGACAGTTGCAATGGTCAAAATAACATATGACAGATGCAGATGTAGATGCGTCTGTTCTGGTCAGAGGCAGCCTAACATGAGTTGGGCTAACACAAACAAAGGGGTGGGTTAATAGCATGACATTGTGTTTAATGTATATCTGTGCCTTGACAATACATTTTATGACATTCCCCCTGGGGTTTTCTATTACTATTGAAATGAAATACATAAAAACATGATGAATAGAGGGACTTTTATTTTTGAAATTGGAAATAGCAGGTATTTTATTTTGGCATGACAAAGCACGGGACTCTTATTTTGAAGTGTGTTACATCCAGCTCATAGTTACATCCTGCTGGATGTAACAGCCAGATGCTGTCTGTAACTATGCTGGATGTAACTGAACAAAGGGGTGGGTTAACATTATGACATTGTGTTGCATGTATATTTCTACAAGGGGTTGGTCAAAACAAGCATTGTGATTGGTTGAGATGCGTTCTAAGCCATAATAAAAAAAACTGTTTAGCATGGGTAAGCCTATGACTCAAAAATGGGAATCTTGTTTTCTGTTCCATCTGAGAAATCCCTGCTCATCCACTGTCCCATCAGCCCAGCCATCCAAAGCATTAACTTAATCTCCACTGTAAAAGGCATCTAGACATTATTTCCATTTGCTTCTAGCCTAACATTTGGTTTGCAACAACAGGAGTTTGTACATACAAAAGTCTTGACATTTGCAACATAGTTTCAATATTGAAATTCGATCTGGAAAATGTTTTTGCCCATTCTGCAGACTGCTATATCATCTGCTAATACAAGACTATTAAAGGCCCAGTGCACTACTTTTGTGAACGTTTTTTTGTGTGTATTTTTCAGGGGGTGCTGCAGCACCCTCATCACACATGAAATGCAGCTAGTTTGCTGTCTTACCAGCTTCAGTTTGAAGTGATTGTGTTAGCTGTGTAGTTGGCTAGCTCATTTAAACAGTGTCCTGGCGAGAGAGCACATTTTCTATGCCAGGCGAAATCGCGCATCATTAGCTCATTGTTATGGATGTATCCAAAACAGCTTAAACAAACACAAATGCCGCTACTTTGCTGTTATTCTGGCTGCACTATTTGACATGACTGAAAATTAGCTGTAGTTGGCTAGCTAGCAAGCAAGGGATAAGAACGTTGCCAGCCAGTATGACAATAGAACATTTAGAACTAACGACTGTGTCGGGTCCATAGATACAGAACAAAAATACTTAACTACTGGGTCGCGTCTCTGGCAACCGAACGGCTTGGGTAGCAACCCTAGATTTGTGTCTGGACTATATCTCCTGGAAGGATGAAATAGTATGAATAAATTCATCAAAATAACGTTTTTAATTTAAAATATTTAAATCATTATTTGAATATGTTGGTAGCCCGTTGTATAAAAGTGATAATGACCTCGAAGCCGGTGTTTGGAGGATATATTGGCACGGTTTACTGGCCCTAACCTTTGTCTCGGGCCTAACAACACCCATTCCAATATATCATCCAAACACTGGCTTCTCGGGCATTATCATTTAATTAATAAGTTGCACTATGCGTCACAATATTGTTTTGAACATTGGTTTTTAGGACCGAAGCCCAACTGAGCATTCTACTCAATGCATCCTAATTGTGCGCTGATTAAGATTTGGTCTAAAGTGCATTATTGTGGCTTGAAAACACGATAACATTTCTAAAGGCAAATAATTTGTAGGAAAACCTTTTGCCATCATTTTGAAGTCGCCAGATTGACTTTAGATGTAGTATAACGTTAGCTACCTAGCTAAGATTGAGGGGTGACCGACAGATTTCAGCTAGCTAACGTTAGCATTACTAGCTATTTTTTTTACTAACTTTGCTAGCTAATGACAACATTGACATTTGTCAAAAGTAAATTTGACAACATGATGATGGCAAAGTTGTTTCCTACTAAAAAGCAATTTATGCTTGATCCAAAAATGTGGTCGGAGGCTCCCTATGGAGGGTGTGACGCAATTGCATGCAGAGGCCAAATTGAGCTCCTTATTGCATCGCAGTGCGCCTCCCAAATAAAGAAATGTACAATGCAGAGGGCTCCATATTTAAGCAATAAGGCCTGAGGGGGTGTGGTATATGGCCAATATACCACAGCTAAGGGCTGTTCTTAGCACGACGCAATGCGGAGTGCCTGGATGCAGCCCTTAGCCATGGTATATTGGCGATATACCACAAACCCCAGAGGTGCCTTATTGCTATTCTAAACTGGTTACCAACTTAATAAGAGCAGTAAAAATACATGTTTTGTTATACCTGTGATATACCACGGCTGTCAGCCAATCAGCATTCAGAGCTCGAACCACCCAGTTTATAAAGCTACAAAGTATTCAGACCCCTTGACTTTTTCCACATTTTGTTACGTTACAGCCTTATTCTAAAATTGATTGATGAGTAAAAAAACAAATTTAATCTACACACAATACCCCATAATGACAAAGCAAAAACAAGTTTAGAAATATTTGCAAATGTATATAAAAAAAAAAACTATCACATTTACATAAATATTCAGACCCTTTACTCAGTACTTTGTTGAAGCACCTTTGGCAGTGATTACAGCATCGAGTCTTCTTGGGTATGACGCTACAAGCTTGGCACACCTGTATTTGGGGAGTTTCTTCCATTCTTCTCTGCAGATCCTCTCAAGCTCTGTCCGGTTGGATGGGGAGCGTTGCTGCACAGCTATTTTCAGGTCTCTCCAGAGATGTTCGATCGGGGTCTGGCTGGGCCACTCAAGGACATTCTGCGTTGTCTTGGCTGTGTGCTTAGGGTCGTTGTACTGTTGTAAGGTGAACCTTCGCCCCAGTCTGAGGTCCTGAGCGCTCTGGAGCAAGTTTTCATCAAGGAGCTCTCTGTACTTTGCTCTGTTCATCTTTGCCTTAATCCTGACTAGTCTCCCAGTCCCTGCCTCTGAAAAACATCCCCACAGCATGATGATGCCACCACCATGCTTCACTGTAGGGATTGTGACAGGTTTCCTCCAGACGTGATGCTTGGCATTCAGGCCAAAGAGTTCAATCTTGGTTTCATCAGACCAGAGAATCTTGTTTCTCATGGTCTGAGAGTCCTTTAGGTGCCTTTCGGCAAACTCCAAGCGGGCTGTCGTGCATTTTACTGAGGAGTGGCCTCCGTCTGGCCGCTCTACCATAAAGGCCTGATTGGTGGAGTGCTGCATATGGTTGTCCTTCTGGATGGTTTTCCCATCTCCACAGAGGAACTCTAGAGCTCTGTCAGAGTGACCATCGAGTTCTTGGTCACCTCCCTGACCAAGGCCCTTCTCCCCCGATTGCTCAGTTTGGCCGAGCGGCCAGCTCTAGGAAGAGTCTTGGTGGTTCTGAACTTCTTCCATTTAAGAATGATGCATGCCACTGTGTTCTTGGGGACCTTCAATGCTGCAGACATTTTTTGGTACCCTTCCCCAGATCGGTGCCTCGACACAATCCTGTCTCGGAGCTCTATGGACAATTCCTTTGACCTCATGGCTTGGTTTTTGCTCTGACATGCACTGTCAACTGTGGGACCTTATATAGACAGGTGTGTGCCTTTCCAAATCATGTCCAATCAATTGAATTTACCACAGGTGGACTCCAATCAAGTTGTAGAAACATCTCAAGGATGTGATCAATGGAAACAGGATGCAGCTGAACTCAATTTCGAGTCTCATAGCAAAGGGTCTTTTTTATACATTTATACATTTTTTATACATTTGCAAAAATGTCTAAAAAACCTGTTTTCGCTTTGTCATTATGGGGTATTGTGTGTAGATTGCTGAGGACATTTTTTTATTTAATCCATTTTAGAATAAGGCTGTAACGTAATAAAATGTGGAAAAAGTCAATGAGTCTGAATACTTTCCGAAGGCACTGTACCTCTGCATTAACATGATTTTTAGGTGGCATTGGCATGATTGGTAGGTGGGGGCGGGAAGTCCTGTATAAACACAAACTCACTTCCTTGACAACTTCCTTCACAACAGCTATGCTCAACAGCTCTGCGCTGCTCCATGAAGCACAATAAATATGAATGCCCTGACTTCTGCAAAGGCCAGATCACCAGTGGTGATTTTAGCATGTAAATCTTGGTGGGGCAAACAAAAAAACAAACGTGATGCATGCCAGCAAAGCCACTACACAATACAACACAACACTAAACAATACATGAATTGCACTATAACGGTGACAAACGGTGCACACAAACTGTTAGGGCCTAGATAAAGCTGTCCCAACAGCAGAGTCACAACAGCAGTCCCAACACCTTACCACTGCTACACCTGGCTATCAACAGAGCCTTCTCTGGTAGCGAAACAGTTCATTCAGCCTCATTTACTGCCTTTTAAACAAACAAAGCTGATATGGCTGACTTGCTTAAACAAATGTGGTTTCAACTGACAATTGAGATGTACAAACTATGGCATAAGGGAACGAACGAGCGGATAAGAGGCAATCTGTAATTTCGATTAAGACAATATTGAGCGAGCTAGGACGGACGTAGTCAATATAACTATTTGTTCAGCACTTTTGAAATGTACAGTGACAAGTCAGAACTGTAGGATAAATAAAGGGGGCATATAAGCAGACAATGAAAGCTCTTACAATATTCCAAGATGACATTTCTCTAAAACAGGCTATCAGTGGTGTAAAGTACTTAAGTACAAATACTTTAAAGTACTACTTAAGTAGTTGTTTGGGGTATCTCTACTTTACTTTACTATTTATATTTTTGACAACTTTTACTTTTACTTCACTACATTCCCTGACACCCAAAAGTACTTGTTACATTTTGACAGGAAAATGGTCCAATTCACACACTCATCAAGAGAACATCTCTGGTCATCCCTATTGCCTCTGATCTGGCGGACTCACTAAACACAAATGCTTCGTTTGTAAATGGTGTCTGAGTGTTGGAGTGTGCCCCTGGCTATCCGTAATTTAAAAAACAAGAAAACCGTGCCGTCTGGTTTGCTTAACATAAGGAATTTGAAATGGTTTATACTTGTACTTTTACTTTTGATACTTAAGTCCATTTAGCGATTCCATTTACTTTTGATACTTAAGTACATTTAAAACCAAATACTTTTAGACTTTTACTCAAGTAGTACTTTACTGGGTGACTTTTACTTTTACTTGAGTCATTTTCTATTAAAGTATCTTTACTTTTACTCAAGTATGACAATTGAGTACTTTTTCCACCCCTGCAGGCTAAAGGCTACATGTGCAGCACCAAGTCAGAACAGTAGGCTAAATTATGAGGGGGAAAAGGGACCAAATTATAAGGGTGAAGCACATGGGCTACTAACAGCTTACTACACAACATATACTTAGTATTACTTTTTTAGCTACAGTATACATATCTCCCTGGCATATTACATAACTTATGCAGCAGCATACAATACATCTTTGGACTCACCTTGTTGTGCTGCGCTCACTTGAACAGGAGGGTGGCGCGGTGGTCCTTTGTGGGCAAATTTTGTCATCAAACTTTGTCATCAAAGTCTGTCAATCTCTGGATTTTTTTTTTTTTTTTTTTTCACCTTTATTTAACCAGGTAAGCCAGTTGAGAACAAGTTCTCATTTACAACTGCGACCTGGCCAAGATAAAGCAAAGCAGTGCGATAAAAACAACACAGAGTTACATATGGGGTAAAAAACATAAAGTCAAAAATACAACAGAAAATATATATACAGTGTGTGCAAATGTAGCAAGTTATGGAGGTAAGGCAATAAATAGGCTATAGTGCAAAATAATTACAATAGTATTAACACTGGAATGCTAGATGTGCAAGAGATTATGTGCAAATAGAGATACTGGAGCGCAGACTACGGGTGGGTGCTGCTATGGTGACCAATGAGCTAAGATAAGGCGGGGATTTGCCTAGCAGTGATTTATAGATGGCCTGGAGCCAGTGGGTTTGACGACGAACATGTAGTGAGGACCAGCCAACAAGAGCGTACAGGTCACAGTGGTGGGTAGCGTATGGGGCTTTGGAGACAAAACGGATGGCACTGTGATAGACTACATCCAATTTGCTGAGTAGAGTGTTGGAGGCTATTTTGTAAATGACATCGCCGAAGTCAAGGATCGGTAGGATAGTCAGTTTTACGAGGGCATGTTTGGCAGCATGAGTGAAGGAGGCTTTGTTGCGAAATAGGAAGCCGATTCTAGATTTAACTTTGGATTGGAGATTCTTTATGTGAGTCTGGAAGGAGAGTTTACAGTCTAACCAGACACCTAGGTATTTGTAGTTGTCCACATACTCTAGGTCAGACCCGTCAAGAGTGGTGATTCTAGTCGGGTGGGCGGGTGCCAGCAGCGTTCGATTGAAAAGCATGCATTTAGTTTTACTAGTGTTTAAGAGCAGTTGGAGGCTACTGAAGGAGTGTTGTATGGCATTGAAGCTCGTTTGGAGGTTTGTTAACACAGTGTCCAATGAAGGGCCAGATGTATACAAAATGGTGTCGTCTGCGTAGAGGTGGATCTGAGAGTCACCAGCAGCAAGAGCGACATCATTGATATACACGGAGAAAAGTGTCGGCCCAAGAATTGAACCCTGTGGCACCCCCATAGAGACTGCCATAGGTCCAGACAACAGGTCCCTCCGATTTGACACACTGAACTCTATCTGAGAAGTAGTTGGTGAACCAGGCGAGGCAGTCATTTGAGAAACCAAGGCTATTTAGTCTGCCAATAATTTATGGTGCTTGCAAGACAACTGGGAACTCTGAAAAAAAACAAGGTCGATTCATAACGTCAGTGATCTTCAGGTCAGAGCTCTAGAAAGAGGCCTGGAAAGAGGCCCGTGTTCCCGAGTTGGATGACCATTCAAAACATATTTTCCCAGTCGGAGCTAGTTTTTTTCAGAGTTCCCAGTTGTCTTGAATTCACTGAAGTCAGAGATTTCCCAGTTCCGAGTTTCAAGTTGTTTTGAACGCGGCAGAAGTCATGCTGTATTGACACCATGGCCAATGTTGAATGTTTATCCTTTTAATCTTGGAAAAGAGACCCTTAAACCCAGACTTGGACCACACACAAACTCCACTGAATATCAGGCTAGTGATTGCTTTGTAATGCTTGCAGTTAGCCACTGATTCCTTCCAAACCACTCATTGTTGAATTTGCTTGTTGTGTAATGTTTATGTCCAAAGGCCGATGAGCACCGATCCGTTTTATCTATAATTTCTCTTCTTAATTTCTCTCCATATGACAAGGATTGAAAAGGATTTGCCAGTAGATTGTCGACTTGATTCATGATGATGACTGCTAGCTTGCTAGCTTAGATTTTGAAAGTATGATGTTGACATGATTAGTCCAATTAAAGCTAAGGTAGATATAACAATTTTATCTGTGGCAAATGATCTTGAGCATTCTTGGATGGGCACTTCTAATGTAAATCTATTGCAGCACCCAAGGGGCTTGAATTTTCGAGCTCTCCCGTAGATTTTGCAGTGACATAGTGTCACCATGAGTGACAGAACACTGAGCCAATCAATGCGCAACTAGAGAACATTACCAACCCCTATGCTCCATATTTTCCACTGTCTGCCCCACCACCACAGAAAGCACTGAGCTAGGATGAAACACCCTGCATCTTGGAGCTGCCTCACTCAAGAAAGCAAAAAATAGACCATGTTTGTATGCGGTGTAGTGTCTGAGGGTCTGTGATTGTGCTGACGTTTGCAGAAGAGTGTGTTAGAGGAAACTTGGCTCTGCTTGCTGAAACATCTGGAAAGCATTACTGAATTCCTGGGAAAAAGGATATGGGAAGATATGTAGAAAAGCCAGGGATTGGTGTATTAAAATCACGCCATAATATGTCACATAGGATATAAATGCCAGGTCTTGAACAAGGGAGGGGAGAATAGCAAATTACAGAATTGGGTCCGGCTGTTCTTCAGATATCTGCAGGTATCTGTAAATCTGACGCTGAAACTCTTTGTTATAATAAACCTTTATAAACAAAGTACAGTGTCGGCGGACTTCTTATCATCACGGCATTATCAGCAAAGTTTGTCTTTTCACCACAGCGGCTTTATTAATTCAATGATTTTTTTGATTATTTTTTTTACATTGTTTGCAAACTGATATGTGACATGTATTAATGCCAAAATAACATGCAAAACAAATAATAAAAATGAAATATATCTATTTTTATTTTTGCTAAACAGGTGGGGCTCCACCTGCCCTGAATGACTGGTCGCCACTGCATGTCACCATAATGCTGCACAAGAGGCGCTGCGATTTCATCACTCCTTCCATATGCAGCCTCCGGATCATTTTGGTTCAAGCATAAATTGGGTTTAGCAACAATGCGACCGAGTGACGTTACATCTGTCGGTACAAACTATCTCCGGGAAGATTAATAACAGATTTAAGAAACCTTTTCTAAGTTCAAGGCGTGGCTGAATAGACTACAGAAGGCTACATTTCCGAGGTAAGATATAGCCACACTTCATCTTTAGGAATACATTTTTTACATTTTAGTCATTTAGCAGACGCTCTTATCCAGAGCGACTTACAGTCATGTGTGCATACATCGAAACCACTACCCTGGCGTTACAAGCGCCATGCTCTACCAATTGAGCTACAAAGGACCACATACTGTAGAGTTGACCATCTAAATGGTTTATGATTAAAGCCACTTCCTGGTTGTACCCTCCCTACCTGCTGGCATTTATGCCACATTCAAAACAACTGGGAACTCGGAAAAATATGAGGTCAAATCGTGATCTTCAGGTCGGAAAGTCGGAGCGACCGAGTTCCAGAGTAGGAATTCCCAGATGGATGATTGTTGAAATCGATTTTTTCCCCAGTCGGAGCCGGTTTTATTCCGAGTTCCCAGATGTTTTAAACGCACTGAAGTCGGAGATTTCCGAGTTTCAAGTTCGGAGCTCCCAGTTGTTTTGAACACGGCATTATATAATATAATATAATAATATGCCATTTAGCAGACGCTTTTATTTAAAGCGACTTACAGTCATGCGTGCATACATTTTTTTGTGTATGGGTGGTCCCGGGGATCGAACCCACTACCTTGGCGTTACAAGCGCCGTGCATTAAACACGTGTGGGGAAAAAACACATGTAGCCTGAGAGTAGGCCAATTGGGTAGTTTTATTAAGACATTTGTTGTACATTGATTCAACGATAATGACAATAATATGAGTGTTTTATGAACATGTTGGGTTCTGTTCTCTGAGTTGACTTATCGACCTTTTTATGATGTTTCACCTCGCGGGCGCAACTCGTGCAGCGTACTCCTATCCCTAAAAGTAGGGCTATGTGTATGATAGGAGGACTATCTGCCAATGGAACTTGATGATGGATCAAATATGATAGAGCTAGTTCTGGAATGGGGATAGATCTAGGGTCCTTGCAATCTGGGACCCTTGGGACATCCCTACCTCATTTGAAGTTTACATTTAAAATAGTTAAGGGTTAGGTAAGGGTTAAGATACATGTAGGGGTTAAGGTTCGTTAGGGTTTAGGGTAGGGACGTCCCAAGGATCCCGATAGCATTAACCATAGTCCAAGAATGGTGATTACACAGTGTACAAAACATTAGGAACACCTTCCTGATATTGAGTTGCACCCAGCCCTCCCACCTGGTCAGTCTTTGTCATCGAAAGGGCAGGTGTTCCTAATGTTTTGTATACACAGTGCAGCTCCATTCATGGCATAATCAAGTTAAATGTCTCCCTATTGTTAAGTTGCCGTCAATTCAAATCTGGTATAGGAACAAAAAGAGGTCAATACACGTCTTCTAAAATAGACTACTATTTTAATTAATGTAAACACTTGAATTGGTAAATACACACAAAAAAAAATATGTATGCACGCATGACTGTAAGTCGCTTTGGATAAAAGCGTCTGCTAAATGGCATTTTCTTTTCTTTTCTTTCTAAATATGATGTTCGTATATACGGGCCCACTGAAAAACCACGCAGGGCAGACAGAGAACTGAGCCATTGTTATAAGTTCTTCTTTAAATACTCTGACTGAGATAGTTCCCGCTCCCGGCTGGGCCTGTCAGGATAGAGGCTGGGCGTGGTTTAAACTTACCCAGCCTATCGATGGCGCACAGGCTGGTCCCAGACCCTTGGCGCTTCACTGTTGCCAGGCATTAGTTGTTATCTTCACAACTTGTCTCGAGTCAGCAACCCCAGACACAGTTTTCTTCTTCATGTTGCAGTACTTTGTCCTTGAGCGGTTTAACAAAGAGGCAGTGTGTGTGTATGTGAGTCACAAGTCTGTCTCAGCCTACCCCCTAACGGTTCCTCACATTAATCACAGCTTGTTATGTTAAACAATCTATATCAGTACAGCACAAACCTATTATGTTGAATCATTAATGTATTCTTTCTAAGCTAGGCATCACATCTAGTTGTAAGAAAATAGATCCCCACACTATGGTGTTTGAAAGAAAATCCTCAGACCAACATCTGCATTGGTATGAATAGAGGCTATTCTAATTAGTAGTGTTTTATTAAATGTAAATTATATAAGCTATATTATAGTATTTTGAAGGCTACTTGAGTAGGCTATTTAACTAGCCTACTTATAGATCAATATAGATGAAGGGCACATGGTCAGTGAGTGGATAAATACATGTATGACAATATTTGTCATAAATATAGGCCTAATAACATATTTTTGCCTCTAGTGATGTTCAAGCTTGATTCTGAGAAGATGGCAAGCAGCTCCGACTGTAAGTGTGTTGAGTTTGCGACAGTAGACAAGGAGGACATATTTTTTCAAGGTAAGGTGGTGCTTTAAAAGGTTGACTGAACTTTGTTTTTTATATCCACACGTGTAAACTATCGATTTAAATGTGAATTATGTTCAAAGTTTGTCAGACAGAGATTTCACCCTCAGCTCCTTGTCTTTGTGTTTTCTTCATGTTATCTGTATGGACTGATTTCCTGTAAAGTCGAAAATGAAGGTAATATACATTTCTTACAATTACTATTATAAGTCATGTAGATGTGGATGTCTTACCTAGACCATGTGCTATTTAGATCCAGCTGAAATAATAGAATGTTAAAGTAACTGTCCAGTGAAAATCTCACATTCTGTTAACTCATACCCAAATAATGTTGTTGACTCATCCTATACTCGTGTTTGTGGCCAAAGCATAAATTGGAGAAAAAACACTTAAAGATGCTTGCTATTTCCTCATAGAGGATGATGCCATCCCAGATGCTGTATATAATGATGAGATGGTCTTGTGTCCGCCCTAACAATGGGAGTTATCAAGGCGGGAAGGCAGTCGGTCTGCTTACTGGTCTGCTTATCGCTGTATTCCCACGTGGACAGATTTTGGCGGGAGTGGATCCTCTCGCTTAGCCTCTTCCTCTCTGATGTCATCCTCCTGAAAACCAGTATACGCCCACACCATTCTGTTGTTGGTGTACGCCCACACCATTCCAACACGGATAAGCTGCTTTTTAACATACTTAATTACTATTATTTGGAAGGAAAACTATTTAACTCATATTGTAATTAATTATAGGTCATATTTCAAAGAAATCTGGAAACACTGGACAGTTACTTTAAAACATGTACACTGAACACCTTCCTAATATTGAGTTGCACCCCCCCTTTTGCCCTCAGAACAGCCTCAATTCGTCTGGGCATGGACTCTACAAGGTGTCGAAAGCGTTCCACAGGGATGCTGACTCCAATGCTTCCCACAGTTGTGTTAAGTCGGCTGGATGTCCTTTGGGTGGTGGACCATTCTTAATACACACGGGAAACTGTTGAGCGTGAAAAACCCAGCAGTGTTGCAGTTCTTGACACAAACCGGTGCGCCTGGCACCTACTACCATACCCTGTTCAAAGGCACTTAAATATTTTGTCTTGCCCATTCACCCTCTGAATGGCACACATACACAATCCATGTCTCAAGGCTTACCTTCTTTAACCTGTCTCCTCCTCTTCATCTACACTGATTTAAGTAGATTTAACAAGTGACATCAATAAGGGATCATAGCTTTCACCTGGATTCACCTGGTCAGTCTGTTTTGTATACTCTGTGTATATCAGTCAAATGTTTTTGTTGTTGTGTTCACACATTCCCTCCTCTTCTGCAGATTTAGAGTCGGATGATTTTAAAAAAGAGACTAATAAATGCTACCAAAGAATGATCCAAATCAAGAACAACCGATTCCTGGTTGTAGATGAACAATGTCTCAAGTTCAAAGAGCAGAATAAGGAGCAATGCAAAGCAGGTAAATGTACCTAGTGAACCCAGTTTGCAGGGGTTCAACTTATCTGTCACTGTGAAGGATTTCTGTCATATGGAATTGGCCAAACTCACAGTTTAATACATGTACAAAATGATCCTCTTTCCCTAAAAGCATGATGGTCATGACTTTTTTTACATGAAAGGGGAGGTTAACTTGGCTCCACAGACAATCGATCTGAGATCGACTTAAAGGTAGACAGCGATATGACTTAGATGCAGAAAGTAAACAGCATTGTGGGGCAATTTCCACAACAACTAAGAGCGTTGAAGTGCGAGGCTCAACTTCTCTGCTGTTTTGGTCCGGTGGCTACCACGCTGTAACAGCGTGAAGCGAACCTGTGCACGTGCGCAGATTCTGTGTCACTGTGAGAGTGAAGTCTTGAATCTTGCTCATTTCAAATCTGTGGTGTTGCTCGTGGCAACGTCATTTTGCTGAGTCTACCTCTAAGTTTAAGTCATGGGATTTTTTTGGCCTTTAACCCCTGAGTCTGTGTCCAGTAAACCGGCCCTCAAAGTATGGTACAGAGATTAGGCTACTGATGCACCTGCTGCATATCACAACCCCATGCATCAGGGAAGATCATGTGACATCCATATGACAAAAACATGCAAAAGTACTTTAAGCACATTGCTGCAAGACATATTTCCCTCTGTTGAATGCATATTTTGTTGTTCTCTGGTTTCTAGAAGATTGCCGGTTCAATATCCAAGTATATAGAAACAATGACCCCAGAGGATGTGCTGTTACTCTCTCTGTGACATCACATTGTAAGAAAACTTATCTGGTGTGCTGCAAGAATAATGGGAACAAAAAAGAAGTTTCTGCCAAACCACTGGTAAGCATACATTTTGTTGAAATTAACAGTGCTTACATCTACATTACATGTAATGTATGGCTTTATTTCACAACATTTTACAGCTGAACTTCCCACAAAGCAATAGACACACTCTGAACAGTCCCTTTAGCCTTAGTTTGGGTTGACAACTGGGTCAGGTTCAGCAGTTGTTCAAGAAAAACAGAAATCGGTGTTCTCCTTATGAGACAAGATCAGGAAGTACATCCCCATTTCAGTTTCTCCCTACTGAACATGACCCAGGTGTGATTATTACCTTCTTACCAGCTGTTTGCACAAACACACTTCACACTGACAAGACAAAGGTAACCAACCCCTCCCCTATTTTCCCCCAGGAGCAACCTTTGCCTGACCAAATTCTCTGCTCACAACATGAGGCTGTGTTCTTCATGGAAGTAATTCCTGGTACATCTATGTACAGATTTAAGTCATCGCTGTGGAGTGGGTGGTACTTGAGCTTTGAGGCTGGATCAGATGAAGAGCCCATGAAGTTAATCCTCAGGGAGGTGCTTGAAGATGTTGTGGATGAGAGGTGTTGTATGGCCTTACAAAATCCTGAGAATATGACATAGAGTTTTATGGTGCTTTTGTTAATGACTGAGGAAAATGTTAATGAATAATCCACTTGCTCAAAACCTGACACTTTTTCTAAGTTTGTAGTCTACCATCCTGTATCTGATCATCATTGTATATGCTCTATATTAAACTGATTTTTTATCCGTAATCTTGTCGCAAACAATCCATAATATCCACTTTATTCTTCCCAAAGCTAATTTGCGGGTAACAATCTGACCGAACGGATTGGTGATGTATTAATCGACGAGACCTAATAAACAGACAAAACACAGTTGAATTTCCAAAGCCATTTAAGCTTTTAGACATTTATATACGAGTAATATGAGGACAAAGACCTATACCTTTCTTAGATTTAACACGGACAACTCCTACTTGTTTCTGCCGACACTCCCAACAGTACAAAAATAAAGCTCTGCCATTTTGACCAAGTGCGTGCACCCTCTGTGTTGACTTGACTTCATATGATGCCAGCTGTACTTGTTGATGCTTAGAAGCTGTTCATACATACACTTGATCAGATAAATGGAAAGTTAAATTCCTGCCAACAAAATAATCCAGTGTACAATGTTAAATACTCAAGCAAGAGTATGATGCCAGGCACAGCTAAGAAAGTAAATATGCACATTATTCCAAACCAGGATATTGTCATAGGATATTATTGACTGATAACTTACACAGGACTGGTACAGGAGGAAGCGCAATGGTGTACAGATCAGAATGGCTACTCTTCTACATGCTCAACCTGGGATGTGCTCAGTGAGGTGAAATGTTCAGAACGTTGCAGTTAGACATTTAATGAATAGAGCTGCGGTGAAGCCGTTTCCACATGACAAATCATATCAGTTCTACAAAATGCATATCTATCTGAACGTTCTATAACGTCGCACACCTTCTGAACAGACCACTGAATTCAAGAACAGTATGGCTATGGGGTTTGAATACTGCCAGTATAAACCCAAATACACCCATTTGCTCTTGTCAATCAAACCAGACCAGCAAGTTCAAACAGACTAAATGTGTGGCACTAAGCTGACTGCAATGGTCTTGAAGGGCACTAGCTGGTATTTAGACTGGTGACGGACACGAAACATACCACAATCATCCCACAAATAAGAATGCAATGTCTACATAATAAATTCAGTTAGTCCAGAAGAGATGAGAAGTAATTTGCCATACTGGATCTGAAATTCAGGTAAAATATATGTAAATCACTGTCGATACTTCCTCAGATAATAAGCATTACACAAGTGTTTGGATTATTAGCAGTTTGTTAACATAAATCAACAGATCATTAACATGCCAACACAAACCTCCAGAACGTGCAAAAAAAAAGTACATTTCTTTCCCCATCCCCCAAAAAGCCAAACTCAATATGAATTACAACACTTGTGAATCACAGTAATATTGTGAAATTATATATTTATAGAAATGTACATATAATCCCTTGAATGTTTACAATCATACCAGAACAAGATGGCTGATGTCCCAGTGCCCACGCCACCCATCCCAAACCTCAATCCATTCATTTGCTCCATAAGAGGGCCACCGCTTTGCAAATGCCTACATCGTTGTAGTTGAAGTAGCAGAGACCGGCAAAGGTGACAGTCGACAACAGGAAGAGGCCTGCGTTGGCCATCTTGATCTTCGGTTCTCCGTGGACGTAGTCCGTTAAGACTTGTCCAATCCCCCTGGAGAGAGAAGACAATACAAGAAATGTATGAGACTGCTTAAAACCACAATATTACGTAATAGCCAGTGATGTAGTGCAAGAAAAAACATTTTTTAAATATATATATAGTGCTATGAAAAAGTATTTACCCCCTTTCAAATTTTCTCTACTTTTGCATTTTTGTGATACTGAATTATCAGATCTTCAACCAAAACCTAATATTAGATAAAGGGAACATAAGTGAACAAATAACAATTACATATTTATTTAATGAACAAAGTTATGCAACACCCAGTTCCGCTGTGTGAAAAAGTAATTGTCCCCTTACACTCAATAACTGGTTGTGCCAGCTGTGGAATGCAGAGTTTGGTTTTCGCCAGGCATTACTAGAACCATGTCGTCCAAAAAGTTATACTTTTGAATCTGTCCATAGAACGTTCTTCCAAGAGTCTTGATGATCATCCAGGTGCTTTTTGGCAAACTTGAGTCAACTTATTGGACGAGATGGGTCCCATTATGCCTGGCGAAAACCAAACACTGCATTCCACAGTAAGAACATCATACCAAAGGTCAAGCATGGTGGTGGTGGTGTGATGGTTTGGGGATGCTTTGCTGCCTCAGGACCTGGACGACTTGCCTTAATAGAAGGAACCATGAATTCTGCTCAGTATCAGAATTCTACAGGAGAATGTCAGACCATCCGTCTGTGAGCTGAAGCTGAAGCGTAGCTGGGTCATGCAGCAAGACAATGATCCAAAACACACAATCAAGTCTACATGAAAATTGCTAAAAAGCAACAAATTTGAAGTTTTGTAATGGCCTAGTCAAAGTCCAGACCTAATCCCAATTGAGATGTTGTGGCAGGACTTGAAACGAGCAGTTCATGCTTGAAAACCCACACGTCACTGAGTTAAAGCAGTTCTGCATGGAAGAGTGGGCCAAAATTCCTCTACAGCAATGTGAGAGACTGATCAACAACTACGATCAACAACTACAAGAAGCATTTGGTTGGAGTCATTGCAGCTAAAGGTGGCACACCCAGTTATTGAGTGTTATGGGGCAATTACTTTTTCACACAGGGGAATTGGGTGTTGCATAACTTTGTTTATGAAATAAAAGAAATAAATATGTAATTGTTGTGTTATTTGTTCACTTATGTTCCCTTTATCTAATATTAGGTTTTGGTTGAAGATCAGATAATTCAGTATCACAAATATGCAAAAGTAGAGAAAATTAGAAAGGGGGCAAATACTTTTTCATAGCATTGTGTGTGTGTATATATATATATATATATATATATATATATATATATATATATATATATTACACAGTGGGGGAAAAAAGTATTTAGTCAGCCACCAATTGTGCAAGTTCTCCCACTTAAAAAGATGAGAGGCCTGTAATTTTCATCATAGGTACACGTCAACTATGACAGACAAATTGAGATTTTTTTCTCTCCAGAAAATCACATTGTAGGAGTTTTAATGAATTTATTTGCAAATTATGGTGGAAAATAAGTATTTGGTCACCTACAAACAAGCAAGATTTCTGGCTCTCACAGACCTGTAACTTCTTCTTTAAGAGGCTCCTCTGTCCTCCACTCGTTACCTGTATTAATGGCACCTGTTTGAACTTGTTATCAGTATAAAAGACACCTGTCCACAACCTCAAACAGTCACACTCCAAACTCCACTATGGCCAAGACAAAAGAGCTGTCAAAGGACACCAGAAACAAAATTGTAGACCTGCACCAGGCTGGGAAGACTGAATCTGCAATAGGTAAGCAGCTTGGTTTGAAGAAATCAACTGTGGGAGCAATTATTAGGAAATGGAAGACATACAAGACCACTGATAATCTCCCTCGATCTGGGGCTCCACGCAAGATCTCACCCCGTGGGGTCAAAATGATAACAAGAACGGTGAGCAAAAATCCCAGAACCACACGGGGGGACCTAGTGAATGACCTGCAGAGAGCTGGGACCAAAGTAACAAAGCCTACCATCAGTAACACACTACGCCGCCAGGGACTCAAATCCTGCAGTGCAAGACGTGTCCCCCTGCTTAAGCCAGTACATGTCCAGGCCCGTCTGAAGTTTGCTAGAGTGCATTTGGATGATCCAGAAGAGGATTGGGAGAATGTCATATGGTCAGATGAAACCGAAATATAACTTTTTGGTAAAAACTCAACTCGTCGTGTTTGGAGGACAAAGAATGCTGAGTTGCATCCAAAGAACACCATACCTACTGTGAAGCATGGGGGTGGAAACATCATGCTTTGAGGCTGTTTTTCTGCAAAGGGACCAGGACGACTGATCCGTGTAAAGGAAAGAATGAATGGGGCCATGTATCGTGAGATTTTGAGTGAAAACCTCCTTCCATCAGCAAGGGCATTGAAGATGAAACGTGGCTGGGTCTTTCAGCATGACAATGATCCCAAACACACCGCCCGGGCAACGAAGGAGTGGCTTCGTAAGAAGCATTTCAAGGTCCTGGAGTGGCCTAGCCAGTCTCCAGATCTCAACCCCATAGAAAATCTTTGAAGGGAGTTGAAAGTCTGTGTTGCCCAGCGACAGCCCCAAAACATCACTGCTCTAGAGGAGATCTGCATGGAGGAATGGGCCAAAATACCAGCAACAGTGTGTGAAAACCTTGTGAAGACTTACAGAAAACGTTTGACCTGTGTCATTGCCAACAAAGGGTATATAACAAAGTATTGAGAAATGTTTGTTATTGACCAAATACTTATTTTCCACCATAATTTGCAAATAAATTCATTAAAAATCCTACAATGTGATTTTCTGGATTTTTTTCCTCATTTTGTCTGTCATAGTTGACATGTACCTATGATGAAAAATTACAGGCCTCTCTCATCTTTTTAAGTGGGAGAACTTGCACAATTGGTGGCTGACTAAATACTATTTTCCCCCACTGTACTTACACTGCTCAAAAAAATTAAGGGAACACTTAAACAACACATCCTAGATCTGAATGAATGAAATAATCTTAATTACTTTTTTCTTTACATAGTTGAATGTGCTGACAACAAAATCACACAAAAATTATCAATGGAAATCAAATTTATCAACCCATGGAGGTCTGGATTTGGAGTCACCCTCAAAATTAAAGTGGAAAACCACACTACAGGCTGATCCAACTTTGATGTAATGTCCTTAAAACAAGTCAAAATTAGGCTCAGTAGTGTGTGTGGCCTCCACGTGCCTGTATGACCTCCCTACAACGCCTGGGCATGCTCCTGACTAGGTGGCGGATGGTCTCCTGAGGGATCTCCTCCCAGACCTGGACTAAAGCATCCGCCAACTCCTGGACAGTCTGTGGTGCAACGTGGCGTTGGTGGATGGAGCGAGACATGATGTCCCAGATGTGCTCAATTGGATTCAGGTCTGGGGAACGGGCGGGCCAGTCCATAGCATCAATGCCTTCCTCTTGCAGGAACTGCTGACACACTCCAGCCACATGAGGTCTTGCATTAGGAGGAACCCAGGGCCAATCGCACCAGCATATGGTCTTACAAGGGGTCTGAGGATCTCATCTCGGTACCTAATGGCAGTCAGGCTACCTCTGGCGAGCACATGGAGGGCTATGCGGCCCCCCAAAGAAATGCCACCCCACACCATGACTGACCCACCGCCAAACCGGTCATGCTGGAGAATGTTGCAGGCAGCAGAACGTTCTCCACGGCGTCTCCAGACTCTGTCACGTCTGTCACATGTGCTCAGTGTGAACCTGCTTTCATCTGTGAAGAGCACAGGGCGCCAGTGGCGAATTTGCCAATCTTGGTGTTCTCTGGCAAATGCCAAACGTCCTGCATGGTGTTGGGCTGTAAGCACAACCCCCACCTGTGGACGTCGGGCCCTCATACCACCCTCATGGAGTCTGTTTCTGACCGTTTGAGCAGACACATGCACATTTGTGGCCTGCTGGAGGTCATTTTGCAGGGCTCTGGCAGTGCTCCTCCTGCTCCTCCTTGCACAAAGGCGGAGGTAGCAGTCCTGCTGCTGGGTTGTTGCCCTCCTACGGCCTCCTCCACGTCTCCTGATGTACTGGCCTGTCTCCTGGTAGCGCCTCCATGCTCTGGACACTACGCTGACAGACACAGCAAACCTTCTTGCCACAGCTCGCATTGATGTGCCATCCTGGACGAGCTGCACTACCTGAGCCACTTGTGTGGGTTGTAGACTCCGTCTCATGCTACCACTAGAGTGAAAGCACTGCCAGCATTCAAAAGTGACCAAAACATCAGCCAGGAAGCATAGGAACTGAGAAGTGGTCTGTGGTCACCACCTGCAGAACCACTTCTTTATTGGGGGTGTCTTGCTAATTGCCTATAATTTCCACCTGTTGTCTATTCCATTTGCACAACAGCATGTGAAATGTATTGTCAATCAGTGTTGCTTTCTAAGTGGACAGTTTGATTTCACAGAAGTGTGATTGACTTTGAGTTACATTGTGTTGTTTAAGTGTTCCCTTTATTTTTTTGAGCAGTATATATATAAATATACACACATACATACAGTGGGGCATCAATGATCATGAGGAAGGTGAGGGATCAGCCCAGAACTACACGACAGGACCTGGTCAATGACCTGAAGAGAGCTGGGACCACAGTCTCAAAGAAAACCATTAGTAACACACTACGCCGTCATGGATTAAAATCCTGCAGCGCACGCAAGGTACCCCTGCTCAAGCAAGCGCATGTCCAGACCCGTCTGAAGTTTGCCAATGACCATCTGGATGATCCAGAGGAGGAATGGGAGAAGGTCATGTGGTCTGATGAGACAAAAATAGAGCTTTTTGGTCTAAACTCCACTCGCCGTGTTTGGAGGAAGAAGGATGAGTACAACCCCAAGAACACCATCCCAACCGTGAAGCATGGAGGTGGAAACATCATTCTTTGGGGATGCTTTTCTGCAAAGGGGACAGGACGACTGCACCGTATTGAGGAGAGGATGGATGGGGCCATGTATCGCGAGATCTTGGCCAACAACCTCCTTCCCTCAGTAAGAGCATTGAAGATGGGTCGTGGCTGGGTCTTCCAGCATGACAACGACCCGAAACACACATCCAAGGCAACTAAGGAGTGGCTCCGTAAGAAGCATCTCAAGGTCCTGGAGTGGCCTAGCCAGTCTCCAGACCTGAACCCAATAGAACATCTTTGGAGGGAGCTGAAAGTCCGTACTGCCCAGCGACAGCCCCAAAACCTGAAGGATCTGGAGAAGGTCTGTATGGAGGAGTGGGCCAAAATCCCTGCTGCAGTGTGTGCAAACCTGGTCAAGACCTACAGGAAACGTATGATCTTTGTAATTGCAAACAAAGGTTTCTGTACCAAATATTAAGTTCTGCTTTTCTGATGTATCAAATTCTTATGTCATGCAATAAAATGCAAATTAATTACTTAAAAATCATAGTGTGATTTTCTGGATTTTTGTTTTAGATTCCGTCTCTCACAGTTGAAGTGTACCTATGATAAAAATTACAGACCTCTACATGCTTTGTAAGTAGGAAAACCTGCAAAATCGGCAGTGTATCAAATACTTGTTCTCCCCACTGTATATACATACACATATACATACATTTATGTATATACATATACATACATTTATGTATACACACACATATACATATACACACATATACACACACACATATAAATATACACATACATATATGTATACATATACATAAGTGTAGCTCAGTTGGTAGAGCATGGCGTTTGCAACGCCAGGGTTGTGGGTTCGATTCCCACGGGGGGCCAGTATGAAAAATGAAAAATATTATGCACTCACTTCCTAACTGTAAGTCTCTCTGGATAAGAGCGTCTGCTAAATGATAAATGACTAAAATGTAAAAATATACACACACACACAGTGAGGGAAAAAAGTATTTGATCCCCTGATGATTTTGTACGTTTGCCCACTGACAAAGAAATGATCAGTCTATAATTGTAATGGTAGGTCTTAAAGGGAGTGCTCCTAATCTCAGTTTGTTACCTGTATAAAAGACACCTGTCCACAGAAGCAATCAATCAGATTCCAAACTCTCCACCTATGGCCAAGACCAAAGAGCTCTCCAAGGATATCAGGGACAAGATTGTAGACCTACACAAGGCTGGAATGGGCTACAAGACCATCGCCAAGCAGCTTGGTGAGAAGGAGACAACAGTTGGTGCGATTATTCGCAAATGGAAGAAACACAAAATAACTGTCAATCTCCCTCGGCCTGGGGCTCCATGCAAGATCTCACCTCGTGGAGTTGCAATGATCATGAGAACGGTGAGGAATCAGCCCAGAACTACACGGGAGGATCTTGTCAATGATCTCAAGGCAGCTGGGACCATAGCCACCAAGAAAACAATTGCTAACACACTAAGCCGTGAAGGACTGAAATCCTGCAGTGGCCGCAAGGTCCCCCTGCTCAAGAAAGCACATATACAGGCCCATCTGAAGTTTGCCAATTAACATCTGAATGATTCAGAGGAGAACTGGGTGAAGGTGTTGTGGTCAGATGAGACCAAAAATTGGGGGTGTTTTTCTGCTATGGGGACAGGACAACTTCACCGCATCCAAGGGACAATGGACGGGGCCATGTACCGTCAAATCTTGGGTGAGAACCTCCTTCCTTCAGCCAGGGCATTGAAAATGGGTCGTGGATGGTTATTCCAGCATGACAATGACCCAAAACACACAGCCAAGGCAACAAAGGAGTGGCTCAAGAAGAAGCACATTAAGGTCCTGGAGTAGCCTGTCTCCAGACCTTAATCCCATAGAAAATATGTGGAGGGAGCTGAAGGTTCGAGTTGCCAAACGTCAGCCTCGAAACCTTAATGACTTGGAGAAGATCTGCAAAGAGGAGTGGGACAAAATCCTTCCTTAAATGTGTGCAAACCTGGTGGCCAACTACAAGAAATGTCTGACCTCTGATTGCCAACAAGGGTTTTGCCACCAAGTACTAAGTCATGTTTTGCAGAGGGGTCAAATACTTATTTCCCTCATTAAAATACATTTTTGAGATGCGTTTTTCTGGATTTCTTTGTTGTTATTCTGTCTCTCACTGTTCAAATAAACCTACCATTAAAATTATAGACTGATTATGTCTTTGTCAGTGGGCAAATGTACAAAATCAGCAGGGGATGAAATACATTGCTGATTTTGTACGTTTGCCCACTGACAAAGAAATGATCAGTCTATAATTTAGCAAGTCGGTTAGGACATCTACTTTGTGCATGACACAAGTCATTTTTCCAACAATTTTTTACAGACAGATTATTTCACTGTATCACAATTCCAGTGGGTCAGAAGTTTACAAACACTAAGTTGACTGTGCCTTTAAACAGCTTGGAAAATTCCAGAAAATGATGTCATGGCTTTAGAAGCTTCTGATAGGCTAATTGACATCATTTGAGTCAATTGGAGGTGTACCTGTGGATGTATGTCAAGGCCTACCTTCAAACTCAGTGACTCTTTGCTTGAAATCATGGGAACATCAAAAGAAATCAGCCAAGACCTCAGAAAAAGAATTGTAGACCTCCACAAGTCTGGTTCATCCTTGGGAGGAATTTCAAAATGCCTGAAGGTACCACGTTCATCTGTACAAACAATAGTACGCAAGTAAAAACACCATGGGACCACACAGCCGTCATACCGCTCAGGAAGGAGATGCGTTCTGTCTCCTAGAGATTAACGTACTTTGGTGCGAAAAGTGCAAATCAATCCAAGAACAACAGCAAAGGACCTTGTGAAGATGCTGGAGGAAACAGGTACAAAAGTATCTACACTGCTCAAAAAAATAAAGGGAACACTTAAACAACACAATGTAACTCAAAGTCAATCACACTTCTGTGAAATCAAACTGTCCACTTAGGAAGCAACACTGATTGACAATACATTTCTCATGCTGTTGTGCAAATGGAATAGACAACAGGTGGAAATTATAGGCAATTAGCAAGACACCCCCAATAAAGGACTGGTTTTGCATGTGGTGACCACAGACCACTTCTCAGTTCCTATGCTTCCTGGCTGATGTTTTGGTCACTTTTGAATGCTGGCGGTGCTTCCACTCTAGTGGTAGCATGAGACGGAGTCTACAACCCACACAAGTGGCTCAGGTAGTGCAGCTCATTCAGGATGGCACATCAATGCGAGCTGTGGCAAGAAGGTTTGCTGTGTCTGTCAGCGTAGTGTCCAGAGCATGGAGGCGCTACCAGGAGACAGGCCAGTACATCAGGAGACGTGGAGGAGGCCCTGGAGGGCAACAACCCAGCAGCAGGACTGCTACCTCCGCCTTTGTGCAAGGAGGAGCACTGCCAGAGCCCTGCAAAATGACCTCCAGCAGGCCACAAATGTGCATGTGTCTGCTCAAACGGTCAGAAACAGACTCCATGAGGGTGGTATGAGGGCCCGACGTCCACAGGTGGGGGTTGTGCGTGCAGGACATTTGGCATTTGCCAGAGAACACCAAGATTAGCAAATTCACCACTGGCGCCCTGTGCTCTTCACAGATGAAAGCAGGTTCACACTGAGCACGTGACAGACGTGACAGAGTCTGGAGACGCCGTGGAGAACGTTCTGCTGCCTGCAACATCCTCCAGCATGACCGGTTTGGCGGTGGGTCAGTCATGGTGTGGGGTGGCATTTCTTTGGGGGGCCGCACAGCCCTCCATGTGCTCGCCAGAGGTAGCCTGACTGCCATTAGGTACCGAGATGAGATCCTCAGACCCCTTGTGAGACCATATGCTGGTGCAGTTGGCCCTGAGTTCCTCCTAATGCAAGACAATGCTAGACCTCATGTGGCTGGGGTATGTCAGCAGTTCCTGCAAGAGGAAGGCATTGATGCTATGGACTGGCCCGCCCGTTCCCCAGACCTGAATCCAATTGAGCACATCTGGGACATCATGTCTCGCTCCATCCACCAACACCACGTTGCACCACAGACTGTCCAGGAGTTGGTGGATGCTTTAGTCCAGGTCTGGGAGGAGATCCCTCAGGAGACCATCCGCCACCTCGTCAGGAGCATGCCCAGGCGTTGTAGGGAGGTCATACAGGCACGTGGAGGCCACACACACTACTGAGCCTAATTTTGACTTGTTTTAAGGACATTACATCAAAATTGGATCAGCCTGTAGTGTGGTTTTCCACTTTAATTTTGAGGGTGACTCCAAATCCAGACCTCCATGGGTTGATCAATTTGATTTCCATTGATAATTTTTGTGTGATTTTGTTGTCAGCACATTCAACTATGTAAAGAAAAAAGTATTTAATAAGATTATTTCAATAATTCAGATCTAGGATGTGTTATTTTATTGTTCCCTTAATTTTTTTTAGCAGTGTATATCCACAGTAAAACGAGTCCTATATCGACATAACCTGAAAGGCCACTCAGCAAGGAAGACGACACTACTCCAAAACCGCCATAAAAAAAGCCAGACTACGGCTTGCAACTGCACATGGGGACAAAGATCGTACTTTTTGGAGAAAGGTCCTCTGGTCTGATGAAACAAAAATAGAAATGTTTGGCCATAATGACCATCGTTATGTTTGGAGGAAAAAGGGGGATGCTTGCAAGCCGAAGAACACCATCCCAACCATGAAGCACGGGGGTGGCAGCATCATGCTGTGGGGTTGCTTTGCTGCAGGAGGGACTGGTGCAATTCACAAAATAGATGGCATCATGAGGAAGGAAATGTATGTGGATATATTGAAGCAACATCTCAAGACATCAGTCAGGAAGTTAAAGCTTGGTCGCAAATGGGTCTTCCAAATGGACAATGACCCCAAGCATACTTCCAAAGTTGTGGCAAAATGGCTTAAGGACAACAAAGTCAAGGTATTGGAGTGGCCATCACAAAGCCCTGACCTCAATCCTATAGAACATTTGTGGGCAGAACTGAAAAAGCGTGTGCAAGCAAGGAGGCCTACAATCCTGACTCAGTTACACCAGCTCTGTCAGGAGGAATGGGCCAAAATTCACCCAACTTATTGTGGGAGGCTTGTGGAAGGCTACCCGAAACGTTTGACCCAAGTTAAACAATTTAAAGGCAATGCTACCAAATACTAATTGAGTGTATGTAAACTTCTGACCCACTGGGAATGTGATGAAAGAAGTAAAAGCTTAAATAAATAATTCTCTATTATTCTGACATTTCATATTCTTAAAATAAAGTGGTGATCCTAACTGGAATTTTTACTAGGATTAAATGTCAGGAATTGTGAAAAACTGAGTTTAAATGTATTTGGCTAAGGTGTATGTAAACTTCCGACTTCAACTGTATACACAGTTCATGAGCAAATGTCAGGTCTGCTGAGCGCGAATTTAAACGTTGTGAAAATTCTGTGCAACTTCCAGCACGCGTTTACTGTGAACACAGGCTGTAACTGCTTTAAGTTACAGTTTTAACTACAGTGACTATTTGATCATAATGTAGGCCTACCAGACTGGCCTACCATCAAAAACATTGGAGAAAATATTCCATAACATTTGAAAACAGAAATATCTGTTATATAATTCAGCCTACAGTAGCAGCCAATGTGTGGTGTTCAATGTCAGCCTACATTCCATGAGACTTTTGAAACAAACATGCAGGGCTTGACATTAACCTCTTTATCCACTTCTCCTTCAGACAAGGAGTTGACTGAAAATGTTGTTTTGTTGTTTGACGCAAGAAAACACTTTACAAACAAAATATTATTCCCTACCATTATTTTAGAGAATCAGACAAATTATGCTACCGTCTGCCTACTTAGCTTATTCAAGCCTGTTTTAAAATACAACACTGCCCCTTTAAGACCAAAAAAAAAGCTGTTTACCTGACTCGCTTTTCAAATATGTCTAGAAATGTACACATTTTGTGCTCGTAGGAAGCAATCACTCCCCTATTGCTGACTACAAATTATCTATAACTGGGCTAATAACTCACTAACTAGCAAAGGATATGAACAAAATGTGCACACGTGGCTACATGCAGCTCTCGCTTTGATCTCAAAACAAGCACTACTACTCACAGTCTATTTCAAAGTAAATGGCACAGATCCATATATGGCAATGGGCTATTTGCATATAGGCCTACTGCAGCTCTAATTGTTTATGCCGCACCGGTCTGTGTAGAGTACGGGCTAAGTAGTGGGTGTCAATGCAATAGAATCCTACTCCGATGCGTTCGGCCTACAACAAAATATCTTGCATAGTTCGTTTTGTTTCGGTATGTTGCGTTGAAAGTGACTAATATTGCGTTGATTCAATCACAATTGCCACAGTAAAGGGAAACGTTGATAGTGTTAACAGGGAAAACTCTAGAACAGTGGTCACCAACCTTTGAGTCAAGATCACTTTGTCAAAATGCAAGCCAAGATCTACCGCTGAGATTATTTTTTAACAGGACTTAAAAAACGTAAGCCTATGCAACATTAACCAATTAAAAACAGTACTGTAGCAATGAAGTTTGTGCAGTAAGTTATAGGCCCAATACATTATCACCACATATGGCTTTGCTTGAATTGCTCTGCCAATGCATTGTTCTTCGGGCCATTTTCTACAGAATTATATGGGGGGGGGGGGAGGAAATGGAGGTAGGCTATATGATCACACCGGTAATAGATCAGTTGCTGTATTACTTGTGAGGCACAGCTGAGTGAGCATACATTTAAATAATTTGCTTTTTATTTTTATTTTACTGGGCTGATGGTGGCTGCATCTGATGGTCAGTGTCAGCGGAGGGAGAGAGCAGCAGACTGAGGCTCCGCCTCTCAACATCCCTCCTCTCTCCCTTTCCTCCACTGACACTGACCAAAGCTACACGGTCTTCAAGCCAATAACGAAACTCGAGTTACACCGCATTATTTCTGCCTCGTGCACAAATTCATGTTGTTACTCCTATGATTATAAAAAGACCCAAGCCGCTATTAACAACAACAATGCAAGCCTATAGATACACTTTCCTACTCATTCATTACTGCTGCAGTGCTTGTTGTAGCGCTGAGTGGAAATAGGAAGAGCGCGCATTTCATGGCTTATAAAAGTGTTGAATACAAAGTGTTATCAGTGCTGAGTAAGAACTTAAACATGAACTCACTCATAAAAACAGCAGCTCTTTGAAATATTTGTTGACAGTCTCTCTCTAGTCATGGTTTTAAATGTTTTGAAATCTCACAGTAACAACTTTGCTGTAGCTTTCTTTTATGCCTGCTACGTTACTGCAGACACGGTAATCTGAGCCATCCGATTGGCAGCAGTCTCGGGCTACTGAACGCAGCTTAGAGGGAACATTGGCGTTAACCCTCCACTACACCACTGGTTATAGCCATCCATAGTCATGATGGGACATAGTCCGGATTTCATAATCATGATGGGACATAGTCCTGACTTCATAATCATGATGGGACATAGTCCTCCTGACTTTATTGGCTTCCCAAGGGTAATGTTTGGGAGAGGGAAGTGGACAAATGCATAATCTCAATGGCTGAAGACCCACTAAGACCTTGAGGAACACACCAATAGCTCAAGGAACCATCGTGTGACCTTAGGCTATTCTTTGTTTAGACTACAGGGTGGGGTGTCTTGCCCTGTTTATGTAGCCCATGTGAAATGGCTAGCTAGTCAGCGGTGCGCGCTAGTAGCGTTCAATCAATGACGTCGCTCTGAGACCTAGAAATAGTAGTTTCCCCTGCTCTGTAAGGGCTGCGGCTTTTGTGGAGCGACAGGTAACGATGCTTCGTGGGTGATTGTTGTTGTGTTCAGAGGGTCCCTGGTTCGAGCCCAGGTTGGGGCAAGGAGAGGGACGGAAGCAATACCATTACATTGAGAACATTTACGTCATTTAGCGGACGCTCTTATCCAGTGCATACATTTTATTTTTTTATACTGGCCCCCCGTGGGAATCGAGCCCACAACCCTGGCGTTGCAAGCGCCATGCTCTACCAACTGAGCTACACGGGACTGTAGCTCAGAACAAACAGAACTGGAAGCATTAAGGGATTACATTTTTGAATGGTGCCTAAAGAGATAAGCCAATCTTATTTCCATAGCAGTGGCCTTGGAGGACTGAGAGCTTCATAGGCTTGCTCATAGTGTTCCTCAGTTAACTGGACAATGGTGGTATTTGATGAATCCACTTCAAATAGCGGCACTCACACATTAGCCTTAGCAAGTAAGGCAAAGTTAAATGGTACTGATCTCCTGGAACATATGTGGAGCGCAGTTAAAAAAATTGCTTCATTATTGTCCTAGACACTTAACAAAAGTAGCACAAAAGGAAAAGCCATGGTGTATTACACATGACCAGCATTCTTAAGCGTCATTTTCTTTTTAATTTCACCTTTATTTAACCAGGTAAGCCAGTTGAGAACAAGTTCTCATTTACAACTGCGACCTGGCCAAAATAAAGCAAAGCAATGCGATAAAAACAACAACGCAGAGTTACATATGGGGTAAAATAAAACATAAAGTCAAAAATACAACAGAAATGTATATACAGTGTGTGCAAATGTAGCAAGTTATGGAGGTAAGGCAATAAATAGGCCATAGTGCAAAATAGTTACAATTAGTATTAACACTGGAATGATAGATGTGCAAGAGATGATGTGCAAATAGAGATACTGGGGTTCAAATTAGCAAAATAAATAACAATATGGGGATGAGGTAGTTGGGTGGGCTAATTTCAGATGGGCTGTGTACAGGTGCAGTGATCGGTAAGGTGCTCTGACAACTGATGCTTAAAGTTAGTGAGGGAGATAAGTCTCCAGCTTCAGGGATTTTTGCAATTCGTTCCAGTCGTTGGCAGCAGAGAACTAGAAGGAATGGCGGCCAAAGGAGGTGTTTGCTTTGGGGATGACCAGTGAGATATACCTGCTGGAATGCATACTACGGGTGGGTGTTGCTATGGTGACCAATGAGCTAAGATAAGGCGGGGATTTGCCTAGCAGTGATTTATAGATGGCCTGGAGCCAGTGGGTTTGGCGACTAATATGTAGTGAGGACCAGCCAACAAGAGCGTACAGGTCACAGTGGTGGGTAGTATATGAGGCTTTGGTGACAAAACGGATGGCACTGTGATAGACTACATCCAATTTGCTGAGTAGAGTGTTGGAGGCTATTTTGTAATTGACATCGCCGAAGTCAAGGATCGGTAGAATAGTCTGTTTTACGAGGGCATGTTTGGCAGCATGAGTGAAGGAGGCTTTGTTGCGAAATAGGAAGCCGATTCTAGATCAAACTTTTGATTGGAGATGAGTCTGGAAGGAGAGTTTACAGTCTAACCAGACACCTAGGTATTTGTAGTTGTCCACATACTAGGTCAGACCCGTCGAGAGTAGTGATTCTAGTCGGGTGGGTGGGTGTCAGCAGCGTTCGATTGAAGAGCATGCATTTAGTTTTACTAGTGTTTAAGAGCAGTTGGAGGCTACTGAAGGAGTGTTGTATGTCATTGAAGCTCGTTTGGAGGTTTGTTAACACAGTGTCCAATGAAGGGCCAGATGTATACAAAATGGTGTCGTCTGCGTAGAGGTGGATCTGAGAGTCACCAGCAGCAAGAGCGACATCATTGATATACACGGAGAAAAGAGTCGGCCCAAGAATTGAACCCTGTGGCACCCCCATAGAGACTGCCAGAGGTCCAGACAACAGGCACTCCGATTTGACACATTGAACTCTATCTGAGAAGTAGTTGGTGAACCAGGCGAGGCAGTCATTTGAGAAACCAAGGCTATTTAGTCTGCCAATAAGAATGCGGTGGTTGACAGAGTCGAAAGCCATGGCCAGGTCGATGAAGACGGCCGCACAGTACTGTCTATTATCGATCGCGGTTATAATATCGTTTAGGACCTTGAGCGTGGCTGAGGTGCACCCATGACCAGCTCGGAAACCAGATTGCATAGCGGAGAAGGTACGGTGGGATTTGAAATGGTCGGTGACCTGTTTGTTAACTTGGCTTTCAAAAACTTTCGAAAGGCAGGGCAGGATGGATATAGGTCTGTAACAGTTTGGATCTAAAGTGTCACACCCTTTGAAGAGGGGGATGACCGTGGCAGCTTTCCAATCTCTGGGGATCTCAGACGTTACGAAAGAGAGGTTGAACAGGCTAGTAATAGGGGTTGCGACAATTTCGGCTGCTAATTTTAGAAAGAAAGGGTCCAGATTGTCTAGCCCAGATGATTTGTAGGGGTCCAGATTTTGTAGCTCTTTCAGAACATCAGCTGTCTGAATTTGTGTGAAGGAGAAGCTGGGGGGGGGCATGGGCAAGTTGCAGCGGAGGGTGCAGAGCTGGTGGCCGGGGTAGTGGTAGCCAGGTGGAAAGTATGTCCAGCCGTAGCAAAATGCTTGTTGAAATTCCATTATTGTAGATTTATCGGTGGTGATGGTGTTTCCTAGCCTCAGTGCAGTGGGCAGCTGGGAGGAAGTGCTCTTATTCTCCATGGACTTTACAGTGTCCCAAAAGTTTTTGGAGTTAGTGCTACAGGATGCACATTTCTGTTAGAAAAAGTTAGCTTTTGCTTTCCTAACTGCTTGTGTATATTGGTTCCTAACTTCCCTGAAAAGTTGCATATCGCGGGGGCTATAATTGTTATATGTTTTTGTGCTGGTCAAGGGCAGTCAAGTCTGAGGAGAACCAGGGGCTATATTTGTTCTTAATTTTTAGAATGGGGCATATTTATTTAAGATTGAGAGGAAATTACTTTTAAAGAACAACCAGGCATCCTCTACTGATGGAATGAGATCAATTAGGAAGGACTGCTCGCTAAAGTGTTTTAGGGAGCGTTTGACAGTGATGAGGGGTGGTCGTTTGACCGCGGACCCGTTACGGACGCAGGCAATAAGGCAGTGATCGCTGAGATCCTTGTTGAAGACAGCGGAGGTGTATTTAGAGGGTAAGTTAGTCAGGATGATATGTATGAGGGTACCCATGTTTACGGATTTAGGGTTGTACCTGGTAGGTTTGTTGATCATTTGTGTGAGATTGAGGGCATCTAGTTTGGATTGTAGGATGGCCGGGGTGTTAAGCATATCCCAATTTAGGTCACCAAGCAGTACGAACTCTGAGGATAAATGGGGGGCAATCAATTCACATATGGTGTCCAGGGCACAGCTGGGGGCTGAGGGGGGTCTGTAGCAAGCGGCAACAGTGAGAGACATTTCTGGAAAGGTGGATTTTTAGAAGTAGAACCTCAAACTGTTTGGGCACAGACCTGGATAGTATGATAGAGCTCTGCAGGCTCTCTCTACAGTAGATTGTAACTCCACCCCCTTTGCTAGTTCTATTTAGACGGAAAATGTTGTAGTTGGGGATGGAAGTTTCAGAGTTTTTGGTGGCCTTCCTAAGCCAGGATTCAGAAACTGCTAGAACATCAGGGTTGACGGAGTGTGCTAACGCAGTGAATAACTCAAACTTAGGAAGGAGGCTTCTGATATTAACGTGCAGAAAACCAAGGCTTTTACGGTTACAGAAGTCAACAAATGATAGCGCCTGGGGAGTAGGAGTGATACTGGGGGCGGAAGGGCCTGGGTTAGCCTCTACATCACCAGAGGAACAGAGGAGGACTAGAATAAGGATACAGCTAAAGGCTTTAAGAACTGGTCTTCTAGTGCGTTGGGTACAGAGAATAAAGGGGGCAGATTTCCGGGCGTTGTAGAAAAGATTCAGGGCATTATGTACAGACAAGGATATGGAAGGATATGAGTAGAGTGGAGATAAACATAAGCTTTGGGTAACAATGAAAGAGATAGCATCACTGGAGGCACCGATTGAGCCGGTCTCGGCGTGTATGGGGTGTGGAACAAAGGAACTATTTGAGGCAGTTTGAGAGGGACTTGGGGTTCTACAGTGAAATTGTATAATAAGAACTAACTGGAACAGCAATAGGCAAGGCATATTGACATGGGAGAGAGGCATAAAGCAATCACAGGTGTTATTAGAGAGAGCTAAGACAACAACTGGTAATGGCGATAAAGTTTGGGCTGAGGCTAAACAGAATAAACAGGACAGGGTACTGTGTAAAGGAACAGTCCAGCAGGCATCAGCTGTGCAGCTGAGTGATCATAAGGTCCAGTGAACAGCAATTTGTGAGTCCGTGAGCAGTTCAAATTGGTGCTTCAACACAGCGAGCAGGAAGCACGGTTGTAGTTTGCGTGTGCTAGCGGGCCGGGGCTAGCAGATGGATCTTCATGGTCGTCGCAACGGGAAGCCTGTTGAAACCACAGACTATTACGTCGGCAGACCAGTCGTGATGGATCGGCAGGGCTCCGTGTCGACTCTAGGAGGTCCCGTCCGGTTGACAGAGAGGTAGATAGCCGGGAGATGTGCCTGCCTCAAGGCTAGCTCAAGGCTGATTAGTCAACAACAACGTTAATTTGGTTGCAGCTAGCTAGTTGCGATTATCCTGTGTTAATGGTCCAGTGATTCAGTGATTCCAGCAGAAAATCCGATAGGTTCTGGGTCGATAACTCGCTGTGCAGACAGTGCAGACTGGCCGATAATAGTCCAGGCTAGAGCTGGCTGGTAGGTAGTGCAGGCCACGGACAATGGAGAAAAGCCGCTAACGGTGGCTAATAGCAAGTAGCTAGTTAGCTGGCTACTCCCGTCCGGTAGACAGAGAGGTAGATAGCCGGGGCTAGCTCAAGGCTCAAGACTAACTGGTGCTACGGGGGCAGTGGTGATTAGCCTACAGCAACATCCATTCGACATCCATTCGGTTGCAGCTAGCTAGATCCGGTGTTATGGTCCAGTGATTCAGTTATTCTGGCAGAAAATCCGATGTTCAGGGTGAAAACCGCTAACGGCGGCTAATAGCAAGTAGCTAGTTAGCTGGCTGGATAGTTTCAACTGGAGATTCTAGATAAAAGGTGAGTAAATAATAGAATCCGTTCCGCATTGAGTGAGGCGGATTGCAGGAAAGTCTATTTAGTAGAAGGATGAAAAGTGTGATAGGGAAATATATACGTAAAATACAAAATAAATACAAAAAAACTGCTATTTACATGGACACACAAGAGAACTTGATGTTTAAAATATATATATATATATATATATATATATATATATATATGAGCGTGCATTTCAACTCCTCAGCGACAAGTTTGACAACTGGGAATTAGCTGGTTTTCATTAGAGGGACATGCCTTGAGGATATCCAACACTAAAACCTAAGGGGTATTAACACCACACATGACTAGGATTTGTACTTTAAACCTGCCACTTTCATTTAGTCAGTAGTATAGCAATGGCATAGTGCCCCAGGGCGACATTTAGCCCACCTCTTCAAAAATCTAAAAGCTCTCGTAAATGAAAGCAAAATAAATACTAAGAACAAAACTGTTTTTGCATGAGCAGAAATGTAGTGGACATAGACTTGGTTGGTTATCCCAACCACTTGCCTACTCTATTCTATTCACCATTGTCCTTCATAAAAGCTTCCGACTGTAGTCACAACACAAGTAATTTTTTCAAGCTGAAAAACTAAGGTTTGAGCTTATTCGGAACATGTACAACAATTTTAGTCCGGAAATGATAGTTTTAGTGTAAATATTTACATTTAGGTCATTTAGCAGACGCTCTTATCCAGAGCAACTTACAGTTAGTGAGTGCATACATTATTTTTGTATTACAGGCCCCCCGTGGGAATCAAACCCACAACCCTGGCGTTGCAAACGCCTTGCTCTACCAACTGAGCTACATCCCTGCCGGCCATTCCCTCCCCTCCCCTGGACGACGCTGGGCCAATTGTGCGCCGCCTGATGGGTCTCCCGGTCGCGGCCGGCTATGACAGAGCCTGAATTCGAACCAGGATCTCTAGTGGCACAGCTAGCACTGCGATGCAGTGCCTTAGACCAATGCGCCACTCGGGAGACATTTAACCAGAATAAGGAAGTGAGACCACCTGGCCAGTGCTATTTAAACCAATGAACAATTTTTTGAGGGGAAACTCTTGTCTTACCAGTGGCCATGCAGGGTGAGGGCAGCAGCCAGCGAGTAGTCAACAGCAGGTCCGGGGAAGTAGTAGGCAGCAGGCCCCATGGCCAGCAGCAGTACGCTCACCACACGCTCTCCTGTCCAATGCAGGGAGGCAGCTTTGGACCCAGAGCCAGCTGCAAAAGAGCAAATAGCAAAACATTCAATCATACATCCACATGCAGCCAAACCTCTTGTGGAGAGAGGGGGATAATCATTTAAAGACTCATCATTGAAAACAGTGTATTTACATGTATTTTATAACTCTTTAGCCAGAGAGATTTATAGTAGGCCGGACGTGTTTTTAGCACATAGAAGCAATTAAGTTTGTCTATTAGCCTACGGATTTGTGTTGTTGCGTTTAACAATTGTCCCAGTCAGTTTGTAACTGAGGATTTTATCTTTGAGGTTCTACTATACACACCAGCTCCAGTGGAGGCTGCTGAGGAGAGGACGGCTCATAATAATGGCCGGAACGGAGCAAATGGAATGGCATCAAACACATGGAAACCATGTGTATGATGTATTTGATACCATTCCACTGATTCCGCTCCAGCCATTACCACAAGCCTGTCCTCTCCAATTAAAGGTGCCACCAACCTCCAGTGGCCAGCTCTCATAAGTTGTTGCTTAGGTTCTCAAGTTTCATGGTTCACTAGATATCACAGTTCAAACATCATGCCATGTGTTGCCTAACCTTGTTCTGAGAAAATAATGGATGTTAATGTTCTAAAAGACAATATAGTCCCTCTCAAACGGAGTGCCGTGACCCACTAACCTACTTTTCATCTGTCAGTGAACCTGTTGAAAATGTCACTGGCCTGCCACTTGGGGAACTAATTACAGTGCATTCGGAAAGTATTCAGACCACTTCCCTTTTCCACATTTTGTTACGTTACTGCCTTATTCTGAAATTGATTAAATAAATAAAACTCATCAATCTACACACAATACCCCATAATGACAAAGCGAAAACAGGTTTAGACATTTTTGCTAATTTATTACAAATAAAACAGAAATATCTTATTTACATAGGTATTCAGACCCTTTGCTATGAGACTCGAAATTGAGCTCAGGTGCATCCTGTTTCCATTGATCATTATTGATGTTTCTACAACTTGATTGGAGTCCACCTGTGGTAAATTCAATTGATTGGACATGATTTGTAAAGGCACACACCTGTCTATATAAGGTCCCACAGTTGAAAGTGCATGTCAGAGCAAAAACCAAGCCATGAGGTCGAAGGAATTGTCCGTAGAGCTCCGAGACAGGATTGCGTCGAGGCACAGATCTGGGGAAAGGTACCAAAAAATGTCTGCAGCATTGAAGGTCTCCAAGAACACTGTGGCCTCCATCATTCTTAAATGGAAGAAGTTTGGAACCACCAAGACTCTTCCTAAAGCTGGCCGCTCGGCCAAACTTCAGGACAAGTCTCAATGTCCTTGAGTGGCCCAGCCAGAGCCCGGACTTGAACCCAATCGAACATCTCTGGAGAGCCCTGAAAATAGCTGTGCAGCGACACTCCCCATCCAACCTGACAGAGCTTGAAAGGATCTGCAGAGAAGAATGGGAGAAACTCCCAAAATACAGGTGTGCCAAGCTTGTAGCGTCATACCCAAGAAGACTTGAGGCTGTAATCGCTGCCAAAGGTGCTTCAGCAAAGTACTGGGTAAAGGGTCTGAATATTTATGTAAATATGATGTGGAAAAAGTCAAGGGGTCTGAATACTTTCCGAATGGACTGTATGTATCAACCACACAAACAACATGCCAGTGGGGACGTCATTAACCGGCTCCCTGCCAATAAATTACTTATCCCCCTCTCTCAAATCTGTCTTGCATGATACAGTTCAGTATACAAGAGAGCAAGAAAATACTTGAATCCCCTTAGGTGTAGGGCTGTAGGCTCTAATACTCATAATATAGGCCTACCACTATCACCTTACATAAGAAGCCTAGCCTGAACATTGATTACTTTAAGAAGTCATACAAATCAAACAATGGCCACAGTGTTCTGGTAGGACTGGTATTAATCTTGAGCAAAACATATAGGCCATTATTATTTGAGTGCTACAAGCAAACTGTAGGCTATCAGCAAAGCTCTTATATCGTGGAAACAACAAACCATAGAGAGATGAGGATCCATGAATCCTAGCTGTCAATGGGTAGGACTGGTCTTGGTCCTTTTGCTGTGCGACCAGGGGTCGTGCGAGGAGAGAGCTACGATAAAACAGAGCTGTGGGGAGAAGACGAGAAATCAGTGTCATGAACTATATCACAATATTTACAGTTCAATTATAAGGAGGCTATAAAATAAGGCAAAGCAACAACAACAAAAACAATACGGGTTAGGCTATACTGTAATGTAGTCAGTTGTTCACACATGGCTCAGTTCCAAAATGTGAATATTATTACACATAGGCCTCTATAAATCAGAGGAAGCGTATTTCTTTCCTCAAACTGTAAGGAGTATCATGAATAAACCATTCCATTTGTTATGTGATTGTCATCAATCAGGGGTAGCCTATCTGGTGTATACGTTTTTTAGGGTAACTTGTTTGTGTGCATCTTGGTAGTTGTTAAAAGTAGTATAAGTACAACTAGAGGTCACATAAGGTAATGGCAGATATTCAAGGAACTGAAGTATAGGAAGCCAAAGACCATATAAGGAGTATGGATTAATTTGATCCATGCCACAGTATGTGGGATTGATAGGGGAAGAATAGCCAAAAATGTATATAGAATATTTTGAAACGTGGATAGATTATGTTGAGATGGCCTTAATTCCTACCAAGCATGAGGCCTAAAACTGATATGAAGAGTTTAGAATCGAGGTTGATAATTTTAGCTGCTTCAGGCTACTTTACGAGATGCGTAAACAGATCCGATTCAATGCAGTGACGCCAATAATTGATGTCAGTGACAGCTCTCGCAGGAAGCCTAGCGGTTAAGAGCGTTGGGTCAGTAACCAAACAATCGCTGGTTCGAATCCCCGAACCGACAAGGTGAAGTCACTATGAACTTCAAAAGTCGTTGCCTTGCTCATCCATCAGCTAACATTCGTTAGCTGGCTAGCTACTAGCAAATTACAATATGTACAACGTTACTTTGGACAAAAATCTGTAATGATCAAGTACAACGATATGAAATACACACATTTTTGGAATTAACAGAAAGTTACACGCAAAGACACCTACGTTTGACACCTTTGTGGCAGACAGAACTTATCCTGACGATGGCCGCCATGACAATTAACCAACCAAGGTCACACAATTTACCCGGATGTAGTTGCTGTTTTGTCACCGTGATCAAGAGTATATAAGCACTGGGTGATAGTCGACTGCGGATGCTTCTTCGTATTATTCGCATTGCCACATAAACGGCATTTTAATCCAAACAATGATGCAATGTTTGCTTGATCTTGGTTTAATAGGCTATTTCCAATACTAAAGTATAAGAAACATATCAATTTTGAGCAAACTTTATGGACAATGTTGATCTGCAAAAATAGAATACTGCACATTGCACTATGTTCCCAAATTTATTATAACAACATGTTGACCCCAAAGTCTGCATCTGGTCCCAGACATTGACAACTCCTGTAGAAAGTCTGCATTCAAGAAAGATGATAAATACTTATACTACCTGAGGATAATACTAAATATGACTCTGAAATCAATTTTGAATTCTGGATTTAATAAAAAGAACTAGGCCAAATCCTGTTTTACTAGACTACATCCCTGGGCAGGACTAATAATAAAGTGAGGTTTTAAAACATTTGCAATAGTCAATCTTAAAGGGGCAATCAGCAGTTGAAACAACAACAAAGCGTATCCCTGCCACTGTTTCGGTAAAAAGCTTAGGGATGGGGCTAGAGGAATATAACCACTCTCAAATTCATAGACAGAGCTATGGTTGCAAGGACTGACCACCCATGATATCAAAGGTAACGCTTTAACTATGTTTTGATGCTATATAGTGTTTGATTAAATGTACTTTGTTTACAAACATTGGAGTAAAACAAGCATATATTTTGGGTTCTGATGGGGTACAAAAGTTGAACTAAGCTCATGAGGCATTTATAAGTTATATTCTTAAAAAATCAATGGGTACACCACAGTACATCATTAATTTATAAATTAAAAAATGGATATAGCAACTGCAGATGACCCCTTTAATCTGAACAGATAGCAGTGATTATATTAAAATAATAGTTCACCCAAATTAAACAATGACATATTGGTTTCCATACCATGTAAGCAGTCTATGGACAAGGTACGACAGCAATCAATGCTTTGGTTTTGTTTACCTGGCCACTGTTTCAATAAAAATAAAAATAAAGCATTTGTGGCACAAATCCAATGGAAGTCAATGGTACCTATTTTAGCATTTCCGTCCTTCATATCCAAATCATCTATAAGTAACTTCATTGAGTTACACAATCCATTTTGAAATACTTTAGGGTGGTGCGCGAAAATGCAGTGGTGTAAATACTTAAGTAAAAATACTTAAAAATACTACTTGAGAAGTTTTTTTGGGTATCTATACTTTACTATTTATATTTTTGACAACTTTTACTTCACTAAATTCCTAAAGGAAATAATGTACTTTTACGCCATACATTTTCCCTGACACCCAAAAGTACTCGTTACATTTTGAATGCTTAGCAGGACAGGAAAATGGTCCAATTCATGCACTTATCAAGAGAACATCCCTGGTCATCCCTACTGCCTCTGATCTGGCGGACTCACTAAACACACATGCTTCGTTTGTAAAATGAGGTCTGAGTGTTGGAGTGTGCCCCTGGCTATCTGTAAAAAAAAACTACAAGAAAATAGTGCCATCTGGTTTGCTTAATATAAGGAATTTGATACTTAAGTATATTTAAAACCAAATACTTTTAGACTTTTACTCAAGTAGGATTTTACTGGGTGAATTTTACTTAAGTCATTTTCTATGAAGGTATCTTTACTTTTACTCAAGTAAGACATTTGGGTACTTTTTCCACCACTGCGAAAATGCATGACTTGCATTGGATTTGTGCTTCAAATGCCATACCTTGTCCATATACTGCTTACAGGGTAAGGAAACCAATATATAATTTGGGTGAACTAAACCCTTAACATAATCTATGTGTGTATCCTATTATTAGACCTTTCACATTGTTTTATTAAAGGTGCAATATGCAGAAAATACTCCACCATTTCCTGTTTGCGAAATTTGAATAGTTCGCCTAATTTCAGTTTATGTGACAAAACAAGCAAGTATAGTGTAGAGAATCATTGTACCATCTAAACAGTTGTGAAATATATTTTCCATATCCAAAAATATTGTATTTTCAGCTGGTTGAAGCTGGTGTATAAAATCAAAAGTAAAATATGCAAAAACTAAACTTTAGAAGGGGAAGCATAGAAATATCGCACATAGAACAGATCTACCGCTTCTTATACTTGCTTTCAATGAGAATGACAGAGCTATATCTCACAATTCTATGTGAATTTGGTCAAGTCGCCCAAAAAGTTACATATTGTGGCTTTTAAAAAAAAATGGGTTGGCTAATTATGGTCCTCTGTAGCTCAGCTGGTAGAGCACGGCGCTTGTAACGCTAAGGTAGTGGGTTCGATCCCCGGGACCACCCATACACAAAAATGTATGCACACATGACTGTAAGTCGCTTTGGATAAAAGCGTCTGCTAAATGGCATATTATTATTATTATTATTATTACTTAAATGAAAGGCTGAACATTGAAAATATTGGAGAGTCATGACTCATGTGTTAGTCAATTATCTTGGTAATTGGCAAACCACAACATACTACTGAGCAACAAACGCACGAGCCTACAGAGAAGGTCATTCTCAGCTCTACCGGTTGAATTAACCCGACTGTAATTGGACGGCATTGATTTAAATTCGTCAGAAAAGGCTGACGCTTCAGACCTCCAAAGGATGATCGCAATTGAACAACAAAAAACGCAGTTTCAGGCCCAGGTAGGTAGCTTAGCTACATACAACAGCAGCTATACTACGAAGTTAGCTAGCTACATGAACTGTATTCTGAACTGTATCCTGCATTTGTTTTTTTTATTATACCATCAAACGTCTTCTCAGAATGGATAAACCGAATTGCAAGTTGATTACGAAATCATATATTTCTGTTTGAGACCTCCACACTGAAGTTGACTTAGCTGATTCATTGCTTCTTTTGAAGGTGCATAACTTCACAGATGTCTGCTGGGACAAGTGCATGGAGGGGAGCCCGAGTTCAAAGAGACATGCCTCGTGAGCTGTGTTGACCGCTTTATTGACACTACCTTGTCTATAACCAACCGGTTCACGCAGATGGTGCAGAAGAGTTCCCATTGATGGGAGCTGGAATATGGGGAATAGGCTATAATGTTTTATTTTGTAAGAGAACTGTGCATTATGTTTTCCCTTATGCCTCGAACCCATAACATCATTGCCTAAGATGATGATATGCCACAGTACAATTATTCAAGAGGTAGGCCTAAATTGGACATGATAGAGAATCAAAGTATCTGGTTGCAATACAGCTTTATATAAAATAAAATAAAAGTAGGCCCAAGAACTACACCTACATTGTACTGCTCATAACATCTCTTTAACATCTGTGTGACAACATCATTTGACATAGCCTACAGTATTGTAGAAAATAAAACTATGTAACAAAATGGCCATTTATTTTTGACAAAATGTTTAAAAAATGAATAATCTTCGTAAATGATATCACGGTAGGACTGGTGGAGTTATGTCACACATGCAGCTTACAAAAACATATGGAAATGTCTGCTCTACCCAAAATTACAACCAAATAATTGCAGCATTACCGCAAAAATGGAAGAGGAAAGTGGAAGGGGGAAAAAATAAGGAACTTGTCTGTCGGCCTTGCATTAAAGAACATAATTGGTTAAAGAAAACTGATAAATAAAAAAGTATACCAGTTTCATTTAAGGACCAAAGGATTGACAGCCGTCCCATATACAGTGGGGAGAACAAGTATTTGCTACACTGCCGATTTTGCAGGTTTTTCTACTTACAAAGCATGTAGAGGTCTGTAATTTTTATCATAGGTACACTTCAACTGTGAGAGACGGAATCTAAAACAAAAATCCAGAAAATCACATTGTATGATTTTTAAGTAATTCATTTGCATTTTATTGCATGACATAAGTATTTGATACATCAGAAAAGCAGACCTTTATATTTGGTACAGAAACCTTTGTTTGCAATTACAGAGATCATATGTTTCCTGTAGGTCTTGACCAGGTTTGCACAAACTGCAGCAGGGATTTTGGCCCACTCCTCCATACAGACCTTCAGGTTTCGGGGCTGTCGCTGGGCAATACGGACTTTCAGCTCCCTCCAAAGATTTTCTATTGGGTTCAGGTATGGAGACTGGCTAGGCCACTCCAGGACCTTGAGATGCTTCTTACGGAGCCACTCCTTAGTTGCCCTGGCTGTGTGTTTCGGGTCGTTGTCATGCTGGAAGACCCAGCCACGACCCATCTTCAATGCTCTTACTGAGGGAAGGAGGTTGTTGGCCAAGATCTCACAATACATGGCCCCATCCATCCTCCCCTCAATACGGTGCAGTCGTCCTGTCCCCTTTGCAGAAAAGCATCCACAAAGAATGATGTTTCCACCTCCATGATTCACGGTTGGGATGGTGTTCTTGGGGTTGTACTCATCCTTCTTCTTCCTCCAAACACGGCAAGTGGAGTTTAGACCAAAAAGCTCTATTTTTGTCTCATCAGACCACATGACCTTCTCCCATTCCTCCTCTGGATCATCAAAATGGTCATTGGCAAACTTCAGACGGGCCTGGACATGCGCTGGCTTGAGCAGGGGGACCTTGCGTGCGCTGCAGGATTTTAATCCATGATGGCGTAGTGTGTTACTAATGGTTTTCTTTGAGACTATGGTCCCAGCTCTCTTCAGGTCATTGACCAGGTCCTGCCGTGTAGTTCTGGGCTGATCCCTCACCTTCCTCATGATCATTGTTGCCCCACGAGGTGAGATCTTGCATGGAGCCCCAGACGGAGGGTGATTGACCGTCATCTTGAACTTCTTCCATTTTCTAATAATTGCACCAACAGTTGTTGCCTTCTCACCAAGCTGCTTGCCTATTGTCCTGTAGCCCATCCCAGCCTTGTGCAGGTCTACCATTTTATCTCTGATGTCCTTACACAGCTCTCTGGTCTTGGCCATTGTGGAGAGGTTGGAATGTGTTTGATTGAGTGTGTGGACAGGTGTCTTTTATACAGGTAACAAGTTCAAACAGGTGCAGTTAATACAGGAAATAAGTGGAGAACAGGAGGGCTTCTTTAAGAAAAACTAACAGGTCTGTGAGAGCCGGAATTCTTACTGGTTGGTAGGTGATCAAATACTTATGTCATGCAATACAATGCAAATGAATTACTTAAAAATCATACAATGTGATTTTCGGGATTTTTGTTTTAGATTCCGTCTCTCACAGTTGAAGTGTACCTATGATAAAAATTACAGACCTCTACATGCTTTGTAAATAGGAAAACCTGCAAAATCGGCAGTGTATCAAATACTTGTTCTCCCCACTGTAGATTGCAAAATAGTTGGGAAGAGATTTTTGACGTACCGATTCCATGGCATAGTGTTTATGAACTGATACGCAAAACGACACCGGATTCAAAACTTAGAATTGTTTAATTTAAATTACTATATAAAATTCTTGCTACCAATAGAATGTTATTTATATGGGAGATACAATCTTCCCAGCTCTGCAGATTTTGCTGCGAAGAGACAGAATCATTAGATCATTTGTTTTGGTACTGTCCATTTGTAGCTTGTTTTTGGACACAGGTCCAGGAATGGCTAAAGGATTGCAATATTTACCTGGAGCTAACCCTGCAGATAGCATTACTGGGTGATCTGAAAAGTCATAGTCAATCGATCAATAATATAATAATAATTTTAGCAAAAATGTTATTATTCAATTTACAATCTGTAGAAACAAGGAGAATAGACAGGTTCAGAACTTTTGTAAAACATCACAGTACAGTTGAAAAATATATGGCAAATAGAAATCCAATATGGATGGTGTTGAATGGAGTTGAAGGATGGGACTAATAACAACTAACAACAACTAATAACAACAAGATAACTAATAATGTAAGCATACTGTGTCCATAATAAGTATATACAGTGGGGAAAACAAGTATTTGATACACTGCCGATTTTGCAGGTTTTCCTACTTACAAAGCATGTAGAGGTCTGTAATTTTAACATAGGTACACTTCAACTGTGAGAGACGGAATTTAAAACAAAAATCTAGAAAATCACATTGTATGATTTTTAAGTAATTAATTTGCATTTTATTGCATGCCATAAGTATTTGATACATCAGAAAAGCAGAACTTAATATTTGGTACAGAAACCTTTGTTTGCAATTACAGAGATCATACGTTTACATTTACATTTTAGTCATTTAGCAGACGCTCTTATCCAGAGCGACTTACAGTTAGCGCATACATTATTTTATCGAACCCACAACCCTGGCGTTGCAAACGCCATGCTCTACCAACTGAGCTACATCCCCTGCCGGCCATTCCCTCCCCTACCCTGGACGACGCTGGGGTTTGCACACACTGCAGCAGGGATTTTGGCCTACTCCTCCATACAGACCTTCTCCAGATCCTTCAGGTTTCGGGGCTGTCGCTGGGCAATACGGACTTTCAGCTCCCTCCAAAGATTTTCTATTGGGTTCAGGTCTGGAGACTGGCTAGGCCACTCCAGGACCTTGAGATGCTTCTTACGGAGCCACTCCTTAGTTATCAAATACTTGTTCTCCCCACTGTAGGTTATATGTTGAGAGCTTTTGTGAAAGAGCACAGTTAGAAAGATATGGCATATAGAAGCAAACTGGATGTACATCATGAAAATGATCAGAGAGGTTGAGGGTAGAGGAAGTTCAGGAGTAAAAACAAACAAAATATAATTATTGTAAAATTGACTGTGTCCATAAAACATATATAGTATGTATAAGCTGGAAGTAGAGGCCTAAGCTTTGTTGTTCACTAGTTTACTCCAATTAGGGAAGGGGTGGTGGGGTGGGAAAGTAATAAAGGGAAATATATTTGTTTTTAAAGGATATGTGTATATATACAGTTGAAGTCGGAAGTTTACATACACTTAGGTTGGAGTCATTAAAACTTGTTTTTCAACCACTCCACAAATGTCTTGTTAACAAACTATAGTTTGGGCAAGTCGGTTAGGACATCTACTTTGTGGATGACACAAGTCATTTTTCCAACAATTGTTTACAGACAGATTATTTCATTTATAATTCACTGTATCACAATTGCATTGGGTCAGAAGTGTACATACACTAAGTTGACTGTGCCTTTAAACAGCTTGGAAAATTCCAGAAAATGATGTCATGGCTTTAGAAGCTTCTGATAGGCTAATTGACATCATTTGAGTCAATTGGAGGTGTACCTGTGGATGTATTTCAAGGCCTACCTTCAAACTCAGTGCCTCTTTGCTTGACATCGTGGGAAAATCAAAAGAAATCAGCCAAGACCTCAGGAAAAAAAATGGTAGACCTCCACAAGTCTGGTTCATCCTTGGGAGCAATTTCCAAACGCCTGAAGGTACCACGTTCATCTGTACAAACAATAGTATGCAAGTATAAACACCATGGGACCACGTAGCCATCATACCGCTCAGGAAGGAGATGCGTTCTGTCTCCTAGAGATTAACGTACTTTGGTGCGAAAAGTTCAAATCAATCCCAGAACAACAGCAAAGGACCTTGTGAAGATGCTGGAGGAAACAGGTACAAAAGTATCTATATCCACAGTAAAACGAGTCCAATATCGACATAACCTGAAAGGCTGCTCAGCATGGAAGGAGCTACTGCTCCAAAACCGCCATAAAAAAGCCAGACTATGGTTTGCAACTGCACCTGGGAACAAAGATCGTACTTTTTGGAGAAATGTACTCTGGTCTGATTAAACAAAAATAGAACTGTGTGGCCATAATGACCATTGTTATGTTTGGAGGAAAAAGGGGGATGCTTGCAAGCCGAAGAACACCATCCCAACCGTGAAGCACGGGGTGGCAGCATCATGCTGTGGGGTTGCTTTGCTGCTTTAGAGACTGCTGCACTTCACAAAATAGATGGCATCATGAGGAAGGACAATGATGTGGATATATTGAAGCAACATCTCAAGACATCAGTCAGGAAGTTAAAGTTTGGTCGCAAATGGACCCAAGCATACTTCCAAAGTTGTGGCAAAATGGCTTAAGGACAACAAAGTCAAGGTATTGGAGTGGCCATCACAAAGCCCTGACCTCAATCCTATA